AACAATGTGGATGAGCAAGTGAACATTAGCAATAAAAGCTATAATGTATTATCACTAAGACATTCTGCATGCAATAACTGAGCGGAAAGCCAGCCGGGCGGAGAGAAGAAAATGAAGCTGAAAGTAAACAGTAAGGGTCAACCACGATGATCTACAGCAAATTAATTAACGAGATAATACAGTATATAGGTCAGAAAACCGAAATATAGCTTAATGACGACGTAATTAACTCAGCCTTCAGAAAATATCCCGTAACTGTGTCAATATGGAACATAGTTTGCAAACAAATGAATATAATAGACGTTTCTGAAAGAAAAACTGCAAATGCGTCTAAGACTTACTATGAAATAAATTAAACCCTAGTTTGAACTATATGTTGCGAAGTTTGATTTGAAATGTCTGAAAATTTCTTTAGGGTTTTCGATTACACATGTTTTAACAGCACTCTGCACATGAATTAGTACATATTACCAAAATTTGGGTGCAAATGAAGAAACCATAACAATGAAAGGAAATGTACTTAAGTAAGATATTTTGGCATACAAACAGGTTGCAATTATTTCACATCCATCCCTTTTAAACTGTCTAAAAACGCAAAAAAAAAATTAATTTATGTAATCAGTCACAGAGTAATTTTTTTAATGAAAATCAAGTCCATGCTAATAAAAATTAATTAATTAATTACTCAAGTGCAAGTTAATAAGGATCCTAAGATTAGATTGATTAAAATAAAACTGATTTTATTGCTTTATTTTAATTTCTAACCCTAAGCAGCATTAAAAATAGAACTGACATTTTTTTACAGTGAACTGAATCACTTTTCTTAGAGTAGATTAGATTTGGATGATGGAAAATTTGACTTCATTCATTTATATCATCATTAAACTGAATTAAATTCTTCGAGGTTACTTTGGATAAAGTAAATTATTAATTCTTTAAACGTGCAATAACTATACTGATACTTTTTTGTTACCTCTTCCCCGGACGTAAGATACGCTTTTTTTAAGCCGGAATTCTTGAAAGTTTAGCGAAAAATCTTCGCCGTTGTATTTTTTTCGCTCGGCTCAGTTTATTCTGCTTTAGCATTTTTCGAAGTGCATTAAATCATGCCCATTGTAATTTGAGCCAACGCTTATTACGATAGCTGCATTTATGTTTTTAGTTCTGTATTCTGATTTTCCGCAAACTGCGCAAAATTAATTTGCTAGCACAAGTCGGGCTATTGTTCGATTTAATGCTTTTAATAAAAAGCCTATTCAAGCTTTCTTATGTTTCAATAATTAATTTTGAAAATAGAGTTACAAATCGCTTGGTTGTCTTTGAAACGTTTTAAAACCTTAGTTAATTACAGAGAGAGAACTCTACACTTAAAACCACTGAACACTAGTAGCTTTGTCCAGGTTCGATTGATAACGGGCTATCAACATGGATGCTTTCATGATTTGTCCTCATATTTATTAACATATACAAGCAGATTTATTTAAGAAAATATTTTACAAAATTAGCTTCCTGGTAATAATATGAAATTTGAATTTATTTTCTCGCAGTATGTTGTCAAAAAACAATGCCAGCTTTGATGCCTGAAGAATTTTAAAATACATTAGTTAATATTTGTTCCTCATCCAAATTAAAATAAAATTGTTTCGTTAACTCTTACTCAGGCTTACTTAATTTTAAGCCGTTGATGTTAAATATGCCGACCAGACAGTATAGTAATTAGGGAGGCCTATTGCAGCACCGAAGGACAGGGTTCGAACTGAGGAGAAGACACGGATATTTGTAATTGTATAGCCTCTGTGCGGTATGAGGGCACTCTAAATATGTGGCGAGACGAAGGTCCTCTCGAGGTTGTTGGTAGGGTAATCCCTCGGTTCTCTCCTCCCGGGGTGTTTTTCTATTAAAATTAGGGGCGGGGCTGAACGAAGTCGTGCTGTCAGTATGATGCTCAGAGCTGTAGCCAACGACAGGCTCAATCTTGTTCTCCTTGTCAGGATGAATTTCGTGGGTTGCTCTAATGTTACTATGAGGAAAGTTAACTCACAACAACAACAGACAAATATGTACTGAAAAATTGTCTTTAAATTGTGGAAAGAAATAAATTTGAATAGCTCAGCTGTATAAAACATAAAATTTAAAATTTACAAAGGGAATTTTTGTACAGGCTTCTCCAATAAAAAAAAATTTACTCATTCAAAAGGTCCGTATACACGTTTCTAACATTTAAAAAAATGAGCAAAACCCCTGATTGCAAAAGTTATATGAGCCAAGAAAATACATAAGATTCGCAACGGTAGTAAAAACGCATTTTATAATTTCTAATGACTTTTTGTGCAAATTTCCAAAAAAGCGTTAATTTATTTCATCTTCAGAACAAGATCATTAAACGTAAACCGATATTTCAGCATTTATTATATCACGAGAGTAAATTCAACAACAAAGAACTATTAGCTATGCAATTATTATGGATTATTGATTCAGTTCTGAAAAATGGGAAACAAATGCGTAGCTAATAGCACTTTACTTTACTCTTTAAAGGGCGGTAGTTACCTACAGTAATCACCTTTTCTATTAAACGTCTTACTCACTCGTGTGAGTGACTTTCAACACTTGTAGATTACTAGAGCTCACTACTCTCTTGAAGCGCATTCCTATCAAGAAACATAAGCCAGGAATTGATGCAACAATTGGTCTTCAAGAAACTAAGCATCAGCCATCGAAGACAACATCACGACTTTGCAGATTCGTGATGTAGCCTGTAAAAACAAGAAAAAAGCCTGTAAGAACAGTGTGGGAATGCAGCACATGCAAAGTTGCACTCTGCTTGAAAAAGAAAAACTGTTTCCATGAGTACCATACAGACTGATTTGTAGGGATGTGTTCTGTGAGCGGTGGTCATTGACACTAACCACAAGAAGTGGTAATTTCTTTCACGCATCTTGGACAAAATATGTGTAATTGTCTCAAATAATTTTATTGTAACACCTAATCTCCACCATATAATAAAACAAAGAGTCTGTCTGTGTGTGTGTGTCTTTCGTTCGCGCTGCGCGTAAGCTAATAGACCCACGGCTACGAAATTTGGTACGTAGGTGCATCTGGACCAGAGCCAGTGCACCACGAAGCGATTTTTTCGAAATTCGAATGAAAATGTTTTTTTATTTTAGGTTTTGTGCCGAAATCGCGTCATTTTGAGACATAATGGGTTATAGGAAAGCGAGATTTTACTCTACACACTCCATTTTCACATCGTCATGAAACGTAGGCACTTAGCTATTTTACGAACTTAAAATAAATTTCGTGTTTCAATAAATCGATTCAATACGAATTTATTTAACAAAGTGAGCTTAACAGGTCTTCAGCGGGATTTTCTCTAAAAAAGTTTATTTTTAAAAATGAACCGTTTATTTTTCTTTGATTTTTGGACACGTTAAACTTTCATCCTCGCGACTGCTTTTACAAAAAGAATTTTGGAAAAATAATAATATTTTGTATTTTGAAAAATGTTTTAAATGAAACGTCCAAGTACACTTCTCACATCTCACATCTTTAAAAATGTGGTTTTGGCAACAATGTTCCTTTCTCATTGTTGTTGATAGATTTTTGATGAAATCGCATCATTTTGAATAGTTTTATTCTTTTAGAAATATGGGTTGGGCAACAATTTTCCTTTCTCATTGTTGTTGATAGATTTTTGATGAAATCGCATCATTTTGAATAGTTTTATTCTTTTAGAAATATGGGTTGGGCAACAATTTTCCTTTCTCATTGTTGTTGATAGATTTTTGATGAAATCGCATCATTTTGAATAGTTTTATTCTTTTAGAAATATGGGTTGGGCAACAATTTTTCATCGTATTTCTTATGTCACTGTTTTTAATCCTATTTTTTATGTCACTGTTTTTAAGAGATTGGCATATTTCGTTGTCATTCTTTTCGTATACAATACATTTTTATGCTAATTTTTTTGATAAAGTTGCCCTGCAGAGTAAAATTCTGCGTGTAATTTTTGTTTTTTTTGTTAGTTTATTTCATGTTAATGTTTGCTTATTTCACTGTTTGTAAGATATTGAAAAGTTTTGCATGATTTGCTTTCTTCAACGGAAAGTTGGTTAATTTTTTTATTAGGATAATTAATATTTGTATTAAGGGATATAGCCTATTTTATTGTAATTTTTTTCTCTTGAAAGTATAAGATAAAATATCATTAATTATACTTTGATTTTCAGAAATTTTTGTTTTTTGTATTCTTTTATGTTATTTATTGCTCATTTCACTGTTTTTAAGCTATTGAAAAAATTTGAGTGATTTTTTTAGGAAACAAAGTTCTTAACCTCCTTTATACCATTTCAGTTCTTAAGATTTTGCAAAGGGAAGTTGGTTAATTTATTTGTTAGGATAATTAATATGTGTATTAAGGGATATAGCTTATTTCATTGTAATTTTGTTATACGTAATAACTTTTTTTAAGAAGTTGATCTGCAGAGTAAACTTCTACGCAGCTTTTAAATTTAACGTTTGGTTTTCCCTTCAGCCATTTTTCCGGTACATTTAAAAGCCAGACGAAGGCTGGCAGCGAAGCTGCTAGTATAGTAAATAACACAAGAGTGTTGCTGAAAAAGTTAATTGCGTTTTCCTGCCCCTGAAAGAGTTAAAAGTTATAATCGTTTTTGTTAAATGAAAAGTTTGCTCGAGTCGTATAAAGATTTGAATTTAATTAATATGAATACTTCCAACAGCACCAGTTTTAACAAACTAATTATTTAAGGTATTCTTAACACATCATTTTTACAGTTGAAAATATGGATTATGAAATTTATGTTCTTGAATTATTTGTAATATTCCGTATGCATAGATAGACTGAAGTCTATCTATGTACACGAAATATATTTTACAGATAGACTGAATATATTTTACAGCCACTTGCTTTTTAAATCTTTAAATAAATTTTGGGTAGGTCGCAGATTTTAAGAATAGTGCAATTTTGTTTGTATATCCAACAGAGTCCGTCTTCCTCGAGGAGAGACCGTGTGTCAAGGCTGGGCCGGGCGTTTGTCAAGCACCTACAGTTTCATAAGAGTCGGCCTATGGCCGCTCTGGCCTCATTGACACATCGCCTCTCTTCGTCCAGCAGCGACAATCCCCGGAAAGGACTGACTCTTCTAGACAAGTCGTGTAGCCTGCCGGCCATTGCACCACGTTTGCCCAGGTCCAGGTCTAATCATCATCGGCAAAGTACATCTGGTAGCAGCTCTTCTTTGGGGTAAGTACTGCTTCCTTTGTTTCTCTCTATGCGTATAATCATCTTATGATTATTTCTTTCACGAAGATCTTAGTAAGTTTGGATCTAGTAAGAGATTTAACTTAAAAGTAGTAAAGCATTTTAAACAGCAACTTCCACTTATGTCTGGAGATACGCAGACACTTGAAATCACGTGGCCCTGTGTGATTTATTATTCGCTACAACGGATTTTGTGATGAGTGAAAATGGTAAAAAATGGAATATAAATAAACTTATATGAAAATTCTACAAATATCACACGAATCTACAGAAATTTTATTTTTGTTTAAGAATCTACAGAAATTTTATCTTTGTTTAAGAATCTACATATATAGTATATATTATTTTTGTTTTTGTTAAGATCTATGATTGAAAGAAACATAAAATTCAAAAGTGAACTTTAATTGTTTCAGTTTTATAAGAATTTATAGCTTAAACGAGAGAAATTTAGTAGATCAGAATTACAAATTTTTAAAAAGAAAATGATGTAGCTCAAAAAAATCCAAAGGTTGTCGATATTAAACAATGAAAATACCCTTTTACTTTCTTGTATGAAGTAAAGGAAGTATTGTAATTGCGAAAATTTCGGGTATCATATTTCAACAAAAATATCCATTTTGACCTCTCTCGAAATCCATCTCAATTCATTTGAACGATGTTCTTGCGTGACGTTTCTACGTATGGAGAGGAAAAAAGACTCTTTTTCCCAAAATGGATTATAAACTTAATTTAAAATGGATCCAGGAGACATTTTTTCGTGACCTCTGTACGTACGTATGCATGTATCTCACACAGCTCAAAAGCGATTAGTTTCAAAACATTGGAATTTTGTATATGAGACTGCTATAACATGTAGTTGTGCACCTCCCTTTTGGGTTGCAATCCGGCGCACCATACGATTATTTATATATGTACCCGCGCTGTTACCCGGCTCACTGAGCTGAGTAGTTTTATTCTTATATCGTGGCAAATTGTCCATTTTTTACTTTAAAAGTGATTGAATTGTGTTGTTTTTACGCTCCAGTTAAGGTTTTTATACCTTTAGTTAATCTACAAGCAATTTTTGTAGAATTATGAACAATTTAAAAGTATTTCAATGGTACTCATATCCGCCATTTGTTTACATTTGAAACTCTTAGCAGAACAATGAATTAAGTCCTTTTCTGCACCAACTTCAGTGTCCTTTTGCTGAGTGGAACCAAAAGTAAACTTTCAGTTTTGTGCACCGAAAAATCTGTCTTCCTGCCCTCTAGCCGAATTGCTTGTTTTCACCTAGAAACAATAATTTTAATTGTAAAAATGACTTTTTAACTGTATTCAACTGTATTTGTTTTTTTATTTTTTCCTGTATTTTACAATTTTTAAACGAAGATGTGTTGAGTTTTTATGTATATTTGCCTTGCCGGGAAGTGAGAACTGAATTAAATGAATGAGAAACCTCTCATTCATTTAATTAAAATGAAACTGGAGGAAATAATTTTAAATGAATTGCAGGGAAAATGTGTGTAATTTAATAGGCTGTATAAGGGAGTTATGTGGTGTCAACATCAGATTTTGTTTAAAATTTTCATTAACTCTTATTAAGAGGAAAGCTTTTAAATGAAAAACAGGTATTAAATTTCTGAATCTCTCTCTCTATATATATGTAGATAAATAGATATAATAATGTAATTTATAATTACATAGGCGTATGCTCCATAAAAGATTTAACACGATAATAATAATAAATTAGATAGAAAGATAAGGTATATAGAGAGATAGGTCAGTAATAAAATGACAGCACAAAATAAAATCGATTAAAGGAAAATTATATTAAGCTGAATCCCTGTCGTCTGCCATAAACAGAACCAACACTATTGTGTTGTAATATGTAAATGATGTTTTCTCTGTAAAGCTACGCATAGCAAAACAAAAGCGAAAATCTTCACACATAAGTTCTGTAATGCAATGGACTTATAATATTCCTAATGCTATGTGTAAGATACGTAAAAGAAAAAGAAAATTTTGAAGGATGACTTTTTTTGAAGTGCAGGGTTTAGTAATGTTTTGTGCAGAGAGAAAATTTGTATTTTATTTGTTTCATTATGAGCAATAATTAATTCTTTATTTATATTAATTCCTCTCCGTACGTTGTTCCTTTGCATACACACTCTTCGTAGATTTTTTTTTGTTTTATTCATTTTATTTTTCAATTTTATTGAAATTGGTATTGGATTTTTTAATGTTTTATTATTTATTACAGTTTTTATTAAATTATTAATTTATTATATTATCAGTTCTGAATCATGCAAGTCCAAGGCTCCGTCTTCCTCTTCCTTACCGAGGGTAACGAGATCACAGTACAATCTGCGCTGTCCAAATGCAGGGTCGGATGCCGACTCCATGTCTCGCATTTCTCTGTATCTGGAAGAAAGGCGACTGTTGCTAAACGCGAGGGAAGGGCAGTTGGTTGACTTAACTCCAGACGATACTCCACCACGGAGAGTGGAATTCTACCGCAGAAGAAGTCCATCTCCTAAGCCCAAAAATGATCCTTATGGAAGACGGTTACCTTTAAATCCCCAAGGTAATTCCCTATTTATGGTTATAATAGGATCTTAATTATCCAACGTAACCTAGATCGATATTCACTCTCAGTTGAATATATGTCATCTAATTTGTTGTGTTAATCTCATTCCAAGTTTAAACTAAGTAATTTTTTTCACTTATCTTTCAGCGTGAGACTATGTACTTTCAAGAATTAGTTACAATTTAATTCTTGGAATGAGCCTTTAAAATATGCTTGTAAATTTGCATACTTATAGATATTGCCACCTTCAAAAGGCTGATATTTCTATGTCTGAAAATGGGTCTTGAATTCATTTTTTGAAACAATGTTGAGTACTTGTCTCGTTTTTGTTAGATATTAATTACATCAGAAATCTGAATAATAAGATATTTTTTCCTTCAGGCTCAAAGATTACAACAGATTGAAAAAGTCTAGAATAAGGCGGGTAGTTGCACTTGGAAATGCAAGAATTAAATTACTGATCACCACTTACAGAGTTGTTTTAAGATCATAGAAATGGTAGCTAATTATACCTGTTTCTTGTGTCACTTGCTGATTCTTCCAGGAATTTTCTTCAACAAATGGGAGCTTCAAAAAATTTTCGAATCAGCTAGAGTATGCTAATAAATGGCCGCGTAAGGTTAAGCTATAATGACCTTCAGTCTTGATAAGGCAGTACACCGAGAATTGTGTTAAGATCGGGAGTTACAACAGAGGTGCTTTGAGATCACGTTTGTGCTGTAGTCTACGATTGAATAGTAGATGCAAAGGTGGAACAATAATCCACATGAAATTCTGTTTTAAGCTGAGAAAATCATCCACAGAAACACTGACTAAGCTTACTGAGCGCCGCCTGAGATAACCACTGACCTAACTTTGTTGTAAAAGTCTTACAGTGTTAGTAGTCATCCTGGCAGAAGGGAAAATTTCCTCCGTGTAAGAATATACATATAAATATTACATGGGCATACAAGGCCTGTGAATAAGCATAGATATGTTGATTACAATCATTGTCTTGTACAAGTTACATATGACAGATACATAAAATCATGACAGCTATGTGTACATTTAGACATTATATGAATTCATATTTACAATACTTTTACTGAGATAATCAAAATTAAACTTGTAATTCATTTACACACTGACTGGATTTTCAATATCATTTTAAACTGCTTTACAATATTATTTTTATCAAGTACATATAAACTGGGATAGTAATATGCTTACATTACAATAGTTTTGCTCCTTACAGTCCTGTTATTATTCTACGGGGTGAGCTATTTTCCTAGTGTTGATGTTCAGTTGTTGTAGTATTTTGAATTTGCTATTAAAATTATGCTGCGAAGATACAATTCTCAAGAGAGGGGGAGAATTTCTTAGAATCTTGCTGAGCAAAGCCTGATTACCTCCTCTATTTTAGTTTTCGTCTGCTTGTTGCCGCGGGTATTCTCTGCCCATTGCGGCCAGTATTCACTGCTTGGCATTTTTAAATGCAGTTTATTGGTTTGTGGGCAGTTGAAGAGGAAGTGATCTGCATCACCTACCGCACCACATTCACACAAATCTGATGCTCGTATGCCGAATCTCTTAAGGTAATGTGGGAAGGGACCATGGCCAGTGTAGAATTGAGTTTGTGCTCCGCTGTATGTATTAACTGAGCACGTGACTTTTGGAAAGAACTTGTAGGTTCTCCTCCCTGTGCTTTCCCTTTCCCATCTTTTCTGCCATTCTTGAAAAAGGCTATTGAGCGTGTTTTTTTTAAATAGGACTGCGGAACACTTACTGCGCTTTCCAGTCTACTGGAGTCATTGGCAGCCGATTTCGCAAGCAGGTCTGCCGCTTCATTGCCAGTAATACCCACATGAGCTGGAACCCAGATCAGGATAGGTCTGTCATCTGGTGGGATACTTAGAAGAATTTTCTGAATATCTTGCACCAAAGGACTCCTTGTCTTGTGCCCTCGGATGGACTCCAAACTTGAGGCAGAGTCGCTATATATGCTGACCTTTAATCCTAATTGATATTTTGCCAAATTGATGGCTGCTTTTAATGCAAGAAGCTCTGCCTGAAAGACGGTATTTTTGTCTGCCAGTCGTCTTTCCCAAGTTTTAACCATTTCTCCTTCTTGGAGTACACAGTAGGCGCAGCCTGTGCCTTTTTCCGTCTTTGAGCCATCTGTATAAATGGCAAATGCCTTCTCATTTGGCGGCGTGTATTGCATGTATATTGTGTGCGATAAATCAGTATCTGCAGGGTGTCCAAGCATGATCGGCTTGCGCTTCTCATAGTCTGTATGGTAGAATGTCTTTTGCCACAGAGAGACGTTATTTTCTAGGCGCAATGTCCTTACTAATAGTGATTCTCTCTCCACTAGAAGGTCCAGTGGAGGGATACCCGCCAGCACTTGCAGTGCCGCAGTTGGGGATGTTCTATAACCTTTGCATATGATCAAAAGTTGCATTCTTTGTATGGTGAGAAGCTGTCTTCTCATGTGGGCAGTAAGCTTCCTTCCCCATATGGCAGCCCCATATAATATGATCTTTTCTGAGATTGTTCTGTACCAGCTTTTGAGCATAGTGATTGGAGTGCCCCAATGAGGTCCTGATGTTCTAACCATGGAATTACTAATTTGATTTATTTTCTGCTTAAGCTCTTTAATATGCGGTACCCAGGAAAGCCTATTGTTAAATATAATACCTAGATATTTAAGGTCAGTGACCTTTTTTATAGAGACTCCATTTAGCTTAATGTTGGGAATCCTATTTCGCGCTCCATGCTTACATATAAACAGTTGTTTAGTTTTATCTGCTGAGATATTTAATTTGTGCTGATTTGCCCAGCTTGCAAAAGTATTGATTGCGTTTTGTGCCTTTAACCTAATGTCCGTGCTACCAGAAATGACCAATAAAAAGTCGTCTGCGTACGCCTGGATACTCACTCCTTGCTGTTGGTCATAAAGCGCAAAGGCTGTGTGTTCGCTACAAGATTCCAAAGTGTAGGTCCCAAGCAGGAACCCTGGGGACAGCCTCTTTCCAACTTGACTTTGAGTACATCATTGTCCGTTGTAACCTGTATCCAACGATCCTGCAAGTAGCTGCGTATAAGATTCAGGATTTCCTTTGGGCATTTGATGATGTCTAGGCATTCGACTACATCTGGCCACCACAACGAGTCGAATGCCCCTTTGATGTCCAACGAAATAACCAGTGTGTCCATATTGTTGTCTTTGTTCTGCTCTATGTTGTCTAGCAGTTGTTTTAAGGCATTATCTGTGGACTTTACTGCGCAGAAGCCATATTGTTTTTCGTTTATAGACTTGTTCCTGCACATGTGGAAATTAAGGCGTTGCAAAATTACTTTTTCTGACTAAGCTTACTGCGATGAGGTAATGAATCATATTCAATGTTTCGAGCCACACACATGCTTCATAGGCAGCAGAACGTCCTTTGCAGACGACGAACGATCTAAAGGAATTTCAACAAATGTCATCCCGAAATAATCGGAGGACAATCAAAGGTATTGCACACATTGTTGGTACATCGAACGGGTCCGAACAGACAATCCTAACATCGGAATTGAACCTGCAGAGTGTTTCTGCCAAGTTGTCACCCCTCTGCCAGGATCAACGCAGAGAACTCTGAGAAGCTACTGGCTAAGTTCTGTACCTAGGCAATCTTGGCCACAGGGGTATAAAATTATTGAGATCAGCGGTTCCCCGTGACTTGTGGGTGTTTTCAGGAAACTGCCCTCGTATTCATTTTCGAGAGGCCCACAGGGTGAGGTGGTGTAAGCCCCGTGTCAGACCTAGTGCGGGCTTCGGGTATCCTGAGTAGTACTGGCAGGTAACATTTCTGACGACCTGTCAAATCTTCAAGTGTGCATGCTCCCACCACGGCGTAACCTAGGAAACGGGAGAGGTGACCCCGCGACCCCAGTCGGTAGCAGTGGGTTTTGAGAGAGTTCGTTTAAAGGCTGCTGTCTCGGTTTGAGGGTGCCGGGACAGCAGCAAGTTTGACATTCTGATCTCCTCTCTTAGGAGGAATTAAACGACCGGATGACCCGCCTCCTGCCAAATATTCTTTCAAGATGGCATCAGTCCGTATTGTGCCATAAATCATATAGTGACGGTATACATATTCTAGTGACAATTTACCCTTCTGCTTACCTCGGAGCAGAAAGAATATCCAGTGGTAGTATGTGAAGATCTCCGCGAGCGGTACAGCGACGTCGAGCATCATCAACAGTTGCGAGATTTAGCGCGAATCGCAAAAGATTATGGACACACTTATGTAAAATAATTTATTACCTCAAATTTCAGTTGTGACAGGAATGCTATAACTGGTTCGTTGTTGGCAAAGTGGCAAGTAGCTATTTTGAAGGAGATGATATTCAGATATACTAAGTAATGCGCTTTTTTGGCACTAGATCTAGTCCGGGAATATTTTAATGAACCTTTTTATTTATCCGTAATCGTTCGATAAACGATCTTTTGAATAATCGATATTCGGATAAATCACTCTGTACAATTAATTTTATTTATAATTCATTTTTTAAATTTTAAACTTTGTTTTATGAAAATATAAAGAAGTTAAAGAAGGAAAATCTCATTTATTGCAAAATGCTTTTTATCTTGCAGAAGCCTTGGCATATTATGGGACTCGTCTTAATAAATATGAAAGAGCAGAAATCTCTCAATATCCTCAAGTGTGGTATCTGGGTTTGGAAGCAAGCAAAATCGAAGGAGAACTGCGAGGCGCACAGAATTGTGGATATGATGATGACAATGGCTCCTACATAAAGGTTTTCACTGACAAAGATCTTTGTTTTCCTTAGTTCTTAACAATCATCAGAGTGATAATATTATTTATTTTGGAATTAATCAAATCTAATAAAAAGTAATATAATTATTTTTTAGATCTGGGCTAAACACAACATCATTCTCCACTGTTGATCAGAAATTTACGTGAGAAAGATCTGCTTATGATGTATTATTAAATATGACTATTGACAGGACACCAAACTTTAATAAAAGATGCTACTTGAGAAGAAAAATCATAATTGTTTCTTGAAGCATTTAAAAATTACTTAGTATTAGTTAAAACTTATGATTTAATATTCATTCGCAACTATTACTTATAACTATACACTTCATTAGAAACACGTTCCGCAAAAATGATACCAGTTAGCCTATGAAGAAGAGCTTTCTGATTGGTGCTTCTTTGCTTTCTATGCTTACAATGAATCCTACAAGTTTCTATTATTAGAAAATTATAATAATGTTCTTCTCACTTCAACGAAATTTTAACGTTTTTTAATTCCAATTTAAATGACTTAATTTTTCTCCAATAAGCACGGAACGGTTTTAAATTTAAGAAAACCTGATTTAAATAATATAAACGGAGATTCATTGCTCATATATTATTAGGGTCTCGAAACTAAACGTTTTTGCAGTCTTATTCCTTATAGACATCCTACACTTGTTTTTGATTATTTTAAGAAGCTTAGAGTTCGCAGATTCATTAGATGAGTAAATAAATGTTAAAAATGATAAAAATCTCTCCATTCTTTTAAAAAACTTACTTTAATACTGGGAAATATATAGTTCCAAAAAATCTGCAGTAAGTTATGAGATAACCCAATTCAGTTTTCATGCGATTAATGTTAGAAAAGTTAATTTCGAGCCTCACTAAGTTTGTCTACCTAAGACCTCTGCTAAGATAACATTATTAATAAACTGTCTGATAATGCAACCACTCGTCTTACTGGTGGCTGAGGTTTTTCTTCTTTGGAAATTTGTGAGAGATGAAAAAAAATTCATGTATGCTTTATAAATTTATTTAGCTTTGAAACTGTTAGTTCATATTTAACTATCTTGGTCGTTAATGCATGTTCTTTGAACTGGAGAAACAACTGGACAACTGGTTGCCCTCACTCATTGCTTAAGGGAAGCGGTCTGTTTAAGGCTTAACAGGTAAATGTGTTCTGGTTGGGTGGACAGGATGCTTTTTGCCTTTCACCATTGATCTTGCCTATCTTACTTTTCAAAAAATGACTCAAAATAGTTTTGACTCAATAATTTTCTTTAATATTGACACACTGAAAAGGGTCTCAGTAATATGAAGATTATTAGACAAAGAATGCAGAAAACTAGTGTGTAAAATTAAATTTTTCTATAAATATCTCGACTTGCTCAATCTATGAAGTTATCCTATAATTTAGTTATAATTAATGATGGGATTAAATTTATTACGAACTACATAAATGAGTATAATGTACTTGTTATACACAGTAGTTTAAATAAAATTATGTAGCATAGTAACTGAATATTTAAAGTTAATCTTCTTGCAGCGGTTAAAAAGAGCTTGACCTAGCTAAATATCACAGAAAAGGTTTTATTTTAATATGATCTCTATCAAGTTTGTGTCGGACATTAAGTTTTAAAATGACTTATAAATATCAAGATAAAGTGTACAGTTTAACGTCAAACTGAACTTGACTTTGCTATATAATAACTAGATTCTTTACACAGTGAGTTTTTACCTCAATAGAAATTTTAATTTCCCGTGAACACAATCAGAATGCAAAAGTGTTAATTTTTATTCGAAATTTCATTATAAATTACTGAATTTAATACAGACTTAAATCCACTGGAATTCGTAAATGGACAAATACAAAATAATTGTAAATGATTATGGAGCCTTATTATGGAGCTTCGATTTTAATTAAAATTCCATCAATTTCGAGGGTGATCTGCTTTAGCAATATTTTTTATGTTTATGAAGAATCATGAATTACATTGCCCTTAAATTTATCACGTTTTATGTAAATCTAAGCTAGTTTAAGTTTGCATTTTTATTTACTTTTATATCAATATTTATTTACAAATCTTACACTCTTGATTCTTGCTTTTCCTTAACCAGTAATAGTTTATGTAGTCAACAGTCTTGTTGATAAATTAAAAAACATTCTGTTATAGCCTATTTCGTTACTAGACGTTTTCATAAAGTTAACAGGTGTAGAGTTTTTTTCTTAATTTCTAATAGCAGATTATAAAGACAAATCTAGACAGAAAAAGCAAAATTGAAAGAAACAAACAAAATTAACGGATACCACCACACTGTGGCCTTCATGAAAATTATAGGGCAGATTTTTTTGGCAAAGAAAGAGGCCTATATTCTCCAAATAACCGACAACCATATCACGTTTTACACTGCCAAAAGAGTAATAAAAAGTTTCTACAGAGAAGCCTTTTGGAAAGACGTTATCGATGAGAACAGTTGTCAGGACTTGTGTTCCTTTTTATCTACTTTGGAAACATGATATGTCCTGAATAGGAACAGGGAGCTTAGTCAAGCTATGCTCAAATATGTGGGGAATAAACAACACTAGCAGGAAGGGTTTACTTTACCCTTTATTCTCTATAAGATCACAGGTGCTCCCGCACTTCGGGATACAGAGACCAACCACTTGTGGTCTGAACTTAAAAATATAAAACTACTAACTAAAATTCTAAATAAGAGCTAACTTTGAATTAGTTTACAAATACCTAACACTAAGACTGGCCTTTTTAAAAGGTTAGTTAGGTAGTACGCAAACTGCCGAAATTATAATATGTTTTAAATATGAAGAAGACTAAACCTCTGGCCTTAAAGGCAACTGATTGAAACCTCGCACGGAATGCAGTGGCAAGGCGGCTCACTTTCCTCTCTCTCTCTTGGCAAAAAGCGACAACTTAAATACTTGGGCGTTAGCAACTACAATTTGCATAAATAAGTTAACACATTTAATTCTGGTCTGAAGTGGAAAATAAGAAAAGATAGTAAAGTTTTAAAATAAAATAAACGTTAGTAAAACTTAAGATCCTTACACAATCATAAAGTATAGATTAATAGAATTTGGACACTCCATTATGGCCCAAAAAGAAATCTGTTTCTAGTATCTTTCTTCTTACTGCTCTTCATGGTTGCCTTTTTAAACATCTGCATCAAATGAACATTATCCCAACTCCAGTTTGTAAACTGTGAAAGCTTCATAAAGAAATGGATATCTCAAAAAAAAAAAAAAAAAAAAAAAAACTTTTGGTGTAAGGAAAAGTCAGTCAGTCTATCAGTTTTTAAACTTGCAACTGTAATTGAAGAAAAGTGTCTCATCCTAGATGTGGGACAGAGAACAAAACAATAAATTTCTTTTCCAAAAATATAACTGAATCTGAAAAATAATTTAGAGAAACGTTAGTGTTTCCTATGAGTTTTGCAGAAAGGTTTTCGACTACCCAGGGCAAAACATCAAAATAATTGTTTTGATGTTTTTTAAAATTTTCTGTTTTTGAAACACGCATTTAGCATACTTTCATAATTGTCAGTAGAGGAAATGTAAATGCTCTAAATACCTCAAATACACTTAAGGTTTACAAAATCATCATGATTTATAGGTTCTGCATGATCACATTGCATACCGGTATGAGATATTAGAAGTCATTGGCAAGGGATCCTTTGGGCAGGTTATTCGAGCGCTTGACCACCGAACGGATACACAGGTGGCGCTTAAGATCATCCGAAACAAGAAGAGGTAAGTAAGAAAACACTCTTTAGACACTATATTTTTATAATGAATCTTCCGTTAGTGTTATCAAACTCACACACTCATTTCCAGGTTCCATCAACAAGCGTTAGTTGAAGTCAAAATTTTAGAGCAGGTGACCAAGAAAGATAGGGATGGATTTTTTAATGTTATTCATATGCTCGACCACTTTTACTTCAGAAATCATCTATGCATCACATTCGAATTAATGGGGTAAGTAATATTCTTGAGTAACTAATATGCCGGGTCGAATTATATCCTTAAAATATTTATTGATTCTATTACAAATGAAGAAAGTTCTACCAATTTCTTATTATAAATCTTTTGCTAAGGACATAATGTGAAAGATACACTTAAGTGCTTTTGTTATGACTTTGTAGGGAAATTAGGTAATTTTTGGAAGCCGGAGAGATGAAAAATTAGCAAACGCCTTCGCCGGGAATCGAACCACGGACCTCTGAAATACCGGCTCAGTGTGCTGACCACTACACCACAAAGGCACGCTAGACAGGAGGGAGAAATACCTTATAACTTTTCTAATTGGTTTTTATAATAATTATTCAGCAACGTGAACGAACTCAATTAATACAATGTAATTTAAGATATTTATTACAATGTTAATTTTTTGTTCAAATATACTTTTTCTTGATGTAACGTACTTGATGATGTTCGGTTGATATGTGTAAATGCTAAATAAAGTTATCGTTGTTAATTAAAAAGGTTTTCGCCACAAAGTTTGTTTCCATTTTCCAACAGTTATTAAAATAAACTAAGAATGTATGTGATTTTTAAATAATAACTTTTTCTTGCAGTGTGATTTCTTTAAAATGTTAAAAGATTAGTGCACTCATTTTAACTTGATGATTGAATTTAATAAAAGATATTTTTATAACATTTATGATAATAATCATAAATAACCGAAAATCTAGAATACTGTATTAAGTATTATGATAAGCTTTATCTGCAAGATCGGGATACTGAAACGACGTAGCTAACATACTGAACACATTTTGTTATCTAACACAGCGAGGCATAAAAAAAATTATGATATATGTTTTCAGCAAATTTTCTAAACCATAACTAACAATTACTATGACATCTAAACTTGCTTTCCTTAAAATGTCATGTTCTTACGGACAGGATTTTCTACGCAGTTGATCGTTTACGTACTACGAGTATCTGCTGTCGTGAAGTTGAAAGCTAAATATAGAATAACAACAAAAGTTTGCTACGGAAACAAAAAAGCAGAAATTAAAAATATTATGTAAAGCATAGAAGAATTAAGCATTAATGTTAATCAAATCTTTTCGGTTATACGCAAGATTTGAGGATGGGCTTCTAAATATTGAAACTAAGAGCGCTCGTTCTTTGCAGTTGATCTGAAGATGAGAACGTCTTAAAAGATCGACAGTTGTTGCTGAAAAATTGTCACTTTTCTCTTTAAATAATAACTGATGAGCTCAACATCAGGAAAGATATTGCTCACAGAATTGCTGGTGGAGCTCTTGAAAAAAGGAAGTTCGTTCTTATTTTGTTACTTCAGCATTGATGCAGAAAAGACAGAAGGAAAAATTCCTGTGTGCCATGATGTCCAAGTGGCAGACATTAATTCTGATATTTTCAAACACGCTGGTCGGAGAACATTCACCACGGCCATAAAAACGTCGTCTTCGGGAATGTCGAGTAAAGACAATATTGGTCACCTTTCTCGACTGATAATTCGGAGAGAAATTTTTCTGAGGAACCCATGGCGAACTCAAGATATAACAGACTTCTAAAGAATGCAGGTCGTAAATCTTAGAACAGCTGAATGAAATAACTGATTTCTCTTGCTAGACAAGGCTGATCACACAGTTTCATTCTTTTCAAGCATTTTCTAGAAAAATGGTGCCACAGTTATCAACTAATTCCCTTATTCATTACGATTTGGACTTCAGACTACCTCTTCCTTAAGCGAAGCCTCATTCAAAAATCATTATAATAGGCGTGAAACCATTTAGAAAACCGTAACAAGAGATTTAAAAATGTATTTCATAAATGAGTTCTACGAAGGATCAAGCAGCTGTATGAAGGTACCCGTTCAGAACAAGTAAATGAGCTAGCTAGATGATTTTTTGTGGTTTTCTCCGTTTACAACCTCAATATTACAACGTTTCCCTTGCATTGTCTTGTACGAAAGCATTAATTCTCAAAAGAAAGCCCTCTACCAAACCAGTTAACCAACTTAGCAGGTAACACAAACAATTGTATGCATCACTGAATAAAAGGACCCTCTCACATAATAGAACCTTAATTGCACATATCGTGAGCTTTAGTCTTTCGGAAATCCACAAAAAGCCTCAGATTATAGACTTTTTTTATCAAACCAACCACTTCTTTAAATGCAATATTTCTAAACTGTTGTTTGCAGTCAATAATTAAACACGTATATAATGATCAAAATCGTAAAAAACAACCTTATATTTAGCGTAGGTATAATGAAACACTCAATCGATTTCGAGGGCAGCTAAAGGTCCCTCCTCATCAGGAGAAAGAAATACATAGAAAGAAGAAAATAGGAATCACAGAAACACGTGGTGCTTATCAGCACTGCACGTGGTTATAACTAGATTTTTAATCAGAGTTGCACTGGCCGCCTACTTTTACTGAGCCAGGCTGTCTGATCAAGCATAAAGAAATATTAGCGAAGTTAAAATAGGGAGCGAGGGGCAAATGCACATTACGCTCAAAATCTGAACTTCAAATAATGGAAAGCAACCACTGAACGGATTTTTATACCCTCCGGTAGTACCAAGTGCGAGGAGGTAACGCCATCTATATTAGCGAAGTTAAAATAGGGAGCGAGGGGCAAATGCACATTACGCTCAAAATCTGAACTTCAAATAATGGAAAGCAACCACTGAACGGATTTTTATACCCTCCGGTAGTACCAAGTGCGAGGAGGTAACGCCATCTATCGGCAAAAATAATTGAATTAAGACAGTAGAATTTTAAAGGCATTAGGAAGGACTGGATTGGACTTCAAATCATTAACTAAACTTTCTAAATCTTTGTGAATGTGAAAAGCCTCAAGAAAATCCAATTCGCCTATGGAAGAAGCCTTTTGGATGATTTTTGCAGACCCAAAATCAAAATTATGGTTAAAAGATATGATACGCTATTGAAGACTTGTTAATTTCCCCTTTTTTTGACATAAGATTCATGTTCCTTGATACGAACTTCAACGCTCTTTTGTTTGGCCAATATATCTTAAACCACACTGACATGATATACTATAAATTCCCCAAGAATTCAAGACAGAAACGCAATCTTTTTAGAATCGAAGGGGAATTTTATTAATAGGGGAGAACCGACTTGAAAATTGAATTTTCTGGAGAATCCGTGCCAATTTTATAGCTAACAGAAGGATAAAAATGGAAGCACGACAAGGTCATTGATATTATTTCTAACAGTGGAATGTCTTCTTTGATGGGAATCTGAAAATTTTTTGACGGCTTTTATCAATAATCAACGGGAGAAAATCCACGGTCAATCGCAACTGCTCTCAAATAATTAAGTTCATTGGTAAGCAAAGATTCAGAGGAACAAACTTTTAGCGCGCGGAAAACATAATAGTAAAAAGAAGCCATTTTGCTTAACAGGGTGGCATGACTTGGCATGGGTGGAAACAAACTGCAAAGGGTTTACGGTACACAGTGGTGCTAAAATCGGTTTCATTGCGGATTATAAGAATATCGAGGAAGGGAAGGGAATTGTTGGATTCAATTTCAAGAGTGAATTGGATGGCTGGATCAATTGAATTCATAATAGATAGAATCTCGGATAAATCCTATTTATAACCGTCAAAAAGTGCGAAAGTGTCGTCAACATACCGAATCCAAAGACGAAAAGATAATTTATCAAATAATATCACTCAAAATAGTGCAGATAAATGTCAGCAAGTACCGGACTGAGAGGATTACCCATAGCCAATCCTTCAACTTGACGAAAATATGCATTTTGGAAAACAAAGTGGGTTGACTTAGAGAAACTTTAGTAAGCGAAACCAACTCATTAATTTCAGTATGTGTGAAGTGAAATTCCCCGAAGCTAGTTTCAAGACAATTTAGTGCTCCTTCGACCGGAACATTAGTAAACAATGATTTGACATCAAATGAAACCATAATGGAACGAAGTGGGGAAATATTTTAAGTTTATCAATGACTTCAAACAGAATTTTTTACAGTGTGAATATTGTTATCAAGTAGAGGAGAAAATCTGGAAACTAAATATTGCCAAGGATATGAAGCAGTACCTATGTTGGAAACAATTGGTCGAAAAGGAATACCGGTTTTGTGGACTTTGGAAGAGCATAAAGTCTAGCGCAATTAGTAATAGGCGGAATAAGTGATTTCTTCAACTGAGTTGGCAGAATGTGGGAAGATTTAATAGCACTTTTTACTTTCATGAGGTCCGAAGTTGAAGGATCTTAGGGATCGAGCAGTCTGGGCTTCATTATCAATTAGAGGACTCCAGTAATATATGTGTGTTTCCATAACAACGATCTGTCCGCCCTTATCAGCTTTAGAGATAATGATATTAGTATCAGAATGAATTTCACGTAAGATCTCATTTTCCTTTTTGCTAAGATTAGAACCCAAAGATTTATTGTTAAAATTAACGTTATGAGTAATTAGGTGGCGGATTGTATCCTCTGCGTTTCGAAATTTGGAGAATTTAAAGGCTTTCTATAGGATCGATGATTTGAGGAATTGAAGGTTTAGATGTCTTTGAAAAGTTGAAATTATATTTTAATACTTTTAACTGATCCTCCGAAAGATTCCTATTGGAGATATTACGATGGAGTTAACGTTTACAGTGGGAAGATCAGCTAGATAATTGGACTATCCGATGGTGGTGAGTTTTTGGAATTTAGAAATGAGCACATTTTTATGCCGTTGACAAACGGTATCGGTTCTAGACCAGGATGTGTGTTCAAATGAGGAAAAATTTCAGTGGAATTAGCAATTTTAAATGGAGGTAATATAATTCAAATTCAATTTTAGATAACGTTTGCGGTGTCCCTTATAATGTGATGAAGAAGTGCCAATTTGAATTTATGCAAAATTTTTGAAACGTGAACGGAAGCTTTAAGGCTACATTTCACATGTATAAATTTGGGAATGAAATTTTGATGTTTGCATTTAAGTAGAAACTGTAGATGATTCAAGAATTTCGTACGCTTTAAGGCGTAACTTACAAAATCGGTTCCTGTCAGTGGACATATTGTGAAAAGGGCACAAGCAAGAAAAAACAAGTGAAGTGAACAAAGAAAGTAATTCCGAAAGTCCAAACAAGTAATTACTTATAACATGAAAAAAACACCAATAAATAATGAAGACAATTTTCATCAACAAATGACAAAAACATTGCAAAAGGAGAGAAACATCCAATACTGAAAACCAATAGCCACGTGGAAAGAAGCAACGAAAGTCAAAATCGTGCACGTGGTAAACCGAAAAAATATAGAATTACCTCGAAAATGCCGGTTGATAGCATAAACCAAATCCGAAAAAGTGATGGCCACGTGGAAAGAAGTAAATAATATGGTGCACGTGGTAAAACAATAAACAGTAAAATATTCTCGAAAATGCCGGTTGATAGCACAAACTAGACTAGAAGAGAAACACGCTAATGTGACAATCAAAATCGTAAAAAACAACCTTATATTTAGCGTAGGTATAATGAAACACTCAATCGATTTCGAGGGCAGCTAAAGGTCCCTCCTCATCAGGAGAAAGAAATACATAGAAAGAAGAAAATAGGAATCACAGAAACACGTGGTGCTTATCAGCACTGCACGTGGTTATAACTAGATCTACGTATATAATGATTTGAATATCTCAAAATGGGATTAAACCTTGGATGTTTGGCCCATGTATATATAATATAGCAGATTAAATTTCACAATGATAACTAACTCTGGATAAGTTTTTATTTAACTATGAGACTCAAGTGATTTAAGTTTAATTAATATGAGCATGAATAGATTTTTAACTCATTGAAGTCTATGGGATTTGACTCTGCTTTTCCGTCGCATATATATATATATATATATATATATATATGTGTGTGTGTGTGTGTGTGTTGATGTACCAGCTTTAGTCGTAGCTTAAATTATCAGACGATAAGTTTTAAAAAAATAGGATCCATTTATTATTATTCAGGAGAAATAGCAGTTACAAAATCAGATATCCGGAGTAAATTAAAAGAATTACTAATAACTTTTTGTATGAAGTTTACTGCATCGTGACATTTAAGAAAAAGCCCCGATATTCTTTTGCGAGTCCTTTTATAGCCTCTGAAAGGCGGAGCTTCCAAGAAATGACGTCAGCCTCGTCAGCCAATCCAATTCGCTTTAAATATTTCCAGAACATTCTATAACTGTACGTGTAGAAAAGTCGGGAGAAACAACTTGACTACGGGGCTGTGGATTTAATTCCACGTACTTTCAAATAAGAGAACGTCGCCATTAAAAATGAAAAGAACATACAGTTAGAATTTTTAGTGTATTCATGACTATGCAATTTTATTATTACATATATATATGTATTTGTAATATATTCAAACTCAGGACTTTAGATGGGGTAGAAGTGTTGATCCATAATGACTAGGAAATTGGAGGCGAAGGCAGATTAAATCTTCAGTTTCAGCACACAAGTCGGCACATTAAATGTGCCTGTTCCAAAAGGCTTACATTTTGATAATTTTTTACAAATTTGTAGCAAGAAAGCAGCAGCAGACAGACAGCAGTGCAGCTAGGCCAAAGCGTGGAAAGCAAGTGCGTAATGTTCAGGATGAAATCTTAAGTCAAACTGAGTTAGTTTTGTTTCATTTTGATTGGACAGTTAATATTGCTGTAAAATTATTATTGGCTGCTTGAGTTTTAATTCAATTTAAATTACCAGAATTATGTAAAAGTTATATGATATAGATTTTTCTCGAAATGACGCAGTGCAGAGAGGGGTTACTATTTTTAAAATAGAGAAGGGAAATTAATTTGCGCTGGTAATTTAATCTTTTACATATTCTTTTTCTTACATATATATAATTTACTATGTATTATAATTATCAGCACTGATAATTAAAATTTACATTTTGATTAAATATTGCTTTCTAATATTCAACGTTATAATTCCATCGGAGTAGAAAAAAATCATTTCCAAATATTGTCTTTTACAAATTTCACAAAAATCCTTCGCACAATGAAACTTTATCATTTCACGAAGAATCACAATGAAACTTTATCAGTTTCGATAATATACATTGAAACTTTATCATTTTTGATAATATACAATGAAACTTTATCATATATAGCTCTTTTCATCACTGCAATGTTATCTGTTTTATTAATATTATATCCCCCGTATTATAAGGTCGCCGCTGGTTGACATGAAAGTAATATCAGTTTGCACAAATCTATAGTGTTATGTTCGATTTTTCATTCTTCTATCAATCTTATAATTCTTTTTTCTTTTGAGATTTGGCAATTGACACTTAAGTTGCGATAGAAACAAGTGTATTTATGTTTAGAGCTATTATTTTGTCATAAATTTTAACATGGTGTGCAAACATAAACATTCTCAGCATATTTTACTTTCTTATTTTCATAAAGCGACTGAGACTCACAGATATGTGAAGTTTACGGTGTTGATTGCTTAACAGACGCATGTGTCTGAATTGGTTTAAAAATTTTCTTTCTGGAGAATTTTCAATTGACCAACTTTCTGGCGAAACTTTTGAAGCTGACGATGACAAAATTAAAGCCACAATTAAATCGAACAGTTATGTAACTGTGCGAGAGGTTGCAAAATTGTTATATATATCACACACAGCAATGGAAAATAACATAAGATATCTTGGACTCGTTAAGAGTCTCTATATTTGGGTTACGCATGAATGTAAAGAAATTCACTTAACATAACGAATAAATATTTGCAATAACGTAATGCAATAGACCATTGTTCAAAAAGAGTTATCTCTGATGGTAAAAAATGGGTCGTCTAAAATAACATTAATCCAAAAACGGCATGGTCGAAGCACCGTGAATCAGCACAAATCAGTTGTAAAGCTAAATTGCATCAGAAAAAATCATGCTGCCAATTTGGTGGGATTACGAAGGTGTTATGCATTTTGAGCTACTTCCAAGCAACCAAACGATCAACTATAAGATGTTTATTGTCAACAAATTATGAAACTGGAGGAAGCAACTAAAGAGAAAAGATCAGAATTGGTAAATTGCGAAGAAATCGTGTTCCACCACGACAATGCGAGGCCTCACGCAACTTTAGCAATACGTACGAAACTACTGAAGCTTGGCTAGAAGTGATGCTTTATACTCCATATAGCCCCGATCTTGCACCATCAGATTATAATTTATTTCAAAGTTTGCAAAATTCTTAAATGATGAAAATTCTGTGATAGCGAGACCTTAAATCATAGTTTATTGAGTTCTTTGCTGATAAAGACCAGAAGTTCTATGAGCATGGAATCATGAAGTTACCAGAACGGTGGCCAAAGGTCATCGAGAAGAATGAAAACATTTGACTGATTAAAGCTCACTTTTTGTATAGAAAACATGTAGTTTTATTTCACCCTAAAAGAAACGAAATTACTTTTTTGCTGACCCAATACAATACAGAAAACCTATCTGAAAGTCATAACTCAGTTTTTTTTCATGTAATGTTAAATGTTATACAACGTATAACATTTTATCAATGAAATCGTATTTAATAGTTAAAGATATCATTTCTAATTATATACATATAAAAAAAAATCTCCCAATTATTTCAACTAATTCCATTATTTCAATTATTTAACTGCGCATTATTTTGATAGAAAGAAAATATATGTTGAACAAATTTTCTTAAAACTAATATTTAATAGTTAAAAGCAGAGATTAAAAAAAAAGAGCTTCATTTTATCTTTAACTGAAATTTATTTCAGATTCGTGTTCCTTATACCTAATATTTTAAAATGATGAAGGGAAAGAATTATGTATTGAGAAATTCTAATAACACCTTCATGCCAATTTCATTAAACAGAGATTAGTCTTTTGATCCGTAAAGGACTGATGAGAGTTCGATAAAAATATAAAATAAACATTCCAAACCCTACTTCTCTGCATTTACAAGTTCATACAAGTTCTGAGCTCATACATACAAGTTTCTGAGCTCACGTGAAGTGGATTTATATCATTGTTTTAAACTGCTACACTTGTTTTAAATTACTACTATTTGCATGACCTTTCGATCATGTAATCTTAATATGTGAATGTAAATCATTAAGTATATCCGTTTTTCATTTCAATATTGATTTCTTTACTTAAAAAAGAAGAAAACGTTTCCTTGAATTCCAGAGATAATGTATTTTTGTTAATATATACTTGAAATAAAACGATATTTCAGTTTTAGAGTTTCAATAGAATTATTATGGACTGTTTTTGTTTCCTTTTATTTAGAATTATAATCTTTTTATTTCAGGTGTAATCTGTACGAATTAATAAAAAAGAATCAATACCAAGGATTTAGCCTGGGTCTCATTCGAAGGTTTGCATTTTCTCTCGTTCAGTGTCTTCGCCTTTTGCATCGAGAGAATATCATCCACTGCGATCTCAAACCGGTAACTAACATAATGTATTTTGTTTATTTCTGTCCTACCTTAGCGATCAACATTAACATAAATCAGTATGCTAGCCTAATTTTTCAAGCTTTAAAATCTTAGATGGTTGTCATGAATGTCATATGCGTAACTGTTAAGAACAACGATAAGCTTGTAAGAATTATGTTAATTTTATTAACAGTTAAATTTGAAGTTCCTTTCCTGTCAAATTCTTAACTTCAACCTACTACTTCCGGCTAGAACCTAGTTTTGGAATCTTTTTGAATACTTAATGAGGAGGAGCGGTATTTAAACCGCGAAGTCTACTTACAGAGAGAATCAGAGTTTCTGATTTACGCGCGTCTGCCTTTTGGCTGCTCTCTCTCTGAAAGCTGTTATTACGCTCGGCCGTTCTCAGGCCCTTGATAAGCTTAGTCAAATAAAGTTAAGGGGCAACTCGATTAGAATCTTGATAGCTTCGGCTATATTTCTTTAGTTAATCTTAGTTTTAGTTTAATTTTTAGTCTCTTAAGTTCAAGCCCAAGGGTCGGCTGTGATTGTACACTCCAAGACGGAGTTTTGTTAAATCTTATTGGAATAATAAAGAGCTAGTTACCCTTCCATCTTGTTGTTTCTTGTCGTACGAACTTAAGCGATTATTCGCTAACTAGTTCTTAAGATTCGTCACTTTCTACAGTAACTGAGAAATACACCAGTGAGAATCTTACAAGCTTATCGAAAAGATCGTTAAGAGCTTATCGATTGATTATAAGCGAATAAGCAGATTTCATAAAAAAAAAAAAAAAAAAAAAAAAAAAAAAAAAAAAAAAAAAACAGATTATTTTTAGCTACGGCGTAATTAATCTCGCCATGGTATTTTGTGTTGAATTACTATGAAATCACTATGAAACGGCGAATCAATTTTCAAACTGTTCCCACCAAATTTTATCACCCTGTATTATATTTAAGAAATTAGATAATGAAGAATCTGCATGAATGTATGCAAAAACAACGTACCTAGAGCCAGTTCTGAAACAACAACGGTACCTAGAGCCATCAAATTTAGAATAACGCAGAAAATGGATACCTGGAAAACAGAATTTTGAATTTGAATTTGTTTTATTACCTATTTCATATTTTGTAAAACTTTGCTTAACATACTCAACGATTTCAAAGCGAGCAATGGTAACACTGTACAGAATGAAACATTTTTATCTCCAGGGCAAGAGACTGTCTGTGGAAAATTCTAAGGATATGCTGTTTGTAAATATTTTGTGATTTTGCTGTTGAACCGAATTTTATGTGGAATATGCATCAAGAACGTGATATTTAGCAAGTAAAAACGCAAAATATTAATAATAAAAAGACCAAAAAAGTTTAGTAAATCCATCTTAGTAAGAAAACTGAACAAGAAACTGAGAAACTGATAGCTCGCCATCAGGAATTCTAAACATATACTACTATGCCACTTTAAAATTTTTTGCAATTTTGCTGTTAAATTATATACGGCGTAAGTGCGAAGAAAAGGTTGCTTAATAATAAAGCTAAAAACACAAAAAATGGGTTAGTAGGAGTGAGTTTAAAGTAGACTGGTTGCTGAGCGACAGCGAGAAAAACCCTAGCAAAATATTTTAGGCGACCTTTAAAATCTGAAACCTTTTAGATTTTTTAGATTTATTAACTTCTGATTCCTTTATAAAATTTTCTAACTAAAATTTTCTTAACATATTGATTGTTGTGCTTAACCCAATTAAAAGTCGCCCGTAACTATGCGGTGCATTCAATCTTGTATTTGAAACCTATAAACTTTAGTCTATAAACTTTTTTTTTTATCTCAGCTAGTTTCTTATTCCTTTCAAAATACTGCTGAGAGGTAGCCAAAAATGTCGTCAGCACAATATTATAAACTTAAGGCATTATCAACAACTTTAAATGATTGATTAGATTATTTACTCATTCGGTTTTTTCTACAAATAACCATATCTAACCATATCTACAAATAACCATATCTAAGGACTGAAGAAGAAGTTTTTCATTTACGTTATCATATGTAAGATAATAGTAATGTTTTTTTTTTCAATAACGTAAAAAAGGAAAACAAGACGCCGGCTTTTATCAATGATTCAGACAATGAAATCATAATGAAATTCGTTTAGCAACAAAACTACCTGAATGGCGTCAGAACACTATCTTTCCTTCTTTTCCAATCTTTGTGCTAAAAAAAGGGAATGCCAAAATGAAATAATTATTTGAAAAAAAAAAGATATGCAGCGATGGAATCCGCTATATAATTTCTAATGTAATAATTAAGATAAAAGTAAAGCAAGAATGAATACGATATTTTTGGGACTTTCGGACAATTATTTAAAAATATTCAGAAAAAGTTGGAAGCAAAATTATGTTTGAGATCATATTTGAAATATTTTTCATGATCGCGTGAAAAATTTTAGATTTATCTTAAATTTTTAAAAAAAGTATTTCCAATTTACTTCTTTCTAAATTTCTAATTTGTACTTCTTTCTAAATTCTGCTGGTAAATAATTATCGTTCTGTTGTTGCTGGTAGATCTCTTGATTTAGCCAGGGCTGGACGAAGTCCTGAAATCCAGGCAATCCATGTGTCATTAACATTTTCAGGTTTTTTAATATTGATTACATATTAGACCATTAGGATCTATATTGCCCAAGACAGAATGTAACGGGAAGAGACTTGCCTTGATATACTGTATGAATTTAAAAACTATGTTACTTTATAAATTTAAATATCCTAATATGACCTCAGCGAAGTCTTGACAGGGTAGTTTCAGAGTTCGTTTTATATGCGTTTCGCTTGTCTATGATAAATGAGACCTGTTGAATTAGCAGGAGCCCTAATTTTAACTCGATTATGCTCGGATCTATTTATTATGACAATAAAGCCCCATTTATCCAAAGGAATATAACTGCTGAATGCGTAAAATAATCACGCTACGTTCAGAACAATCTAGAAGCAAATATAATTTACATATTTTTACACTCCTGTGTAATATAAGTAAATACTACATTGGGGAATCATGAGTTGAAATGGATTCGCCGAAAGCTGCCTTTTGTCCACATTTTATAAAGTAATATTCAGACCAATAGTTTACAAGCTAGATGTCTTTACGATATATATTTAAGCAGTGTTTTCTTCTAAATGTAAGCTTCCTGTTAGAAGATGATGTGGAAAATATTCATACAATATTTTAATAGACTACGTTTAGATTAAAGTGACTAAAATTAGAAGAATGACTTACGAAAATTAGAAGACTGACAACCTATGACTTACAGGTCACCGAGTCGCCCATTTCATATTTTCAAGTGGTCCACTTGAGTTCCGAAAATAAAATATAATATACGAAAATTAATTATAAAACATAAACATGGAACGAACACTCAAAGAATACATAAAAAATAAACCGAATATAAATAATAACAATAACTTTATTCCAAAGTTACAATAAACGAATGCGCATTTTCATTTTTGAATAATTGAAACATAATTTCAAATAGAAATCAATAAGTTTGGCAACAACGATTCATAATTTCCACCAGTTGGCTTTGCCATTTTGTTTGCATTCGGTTCAACTTATAAATGCAAGCATATATTTTTACACAAGAAATATATTTTAAGTACGAATAGGCGAAGATTAATTATCCAATGTTATCAGATGCTTGAATTCGTCTTAAGATGACTAACTATAAGCCTGACTTGACTAAACTGATGTCACACATTTAGCATCAGGGGATCCATTGATATGGAAGAGAAAAAGAAAATTTATTCGGTTATGCTTGTTTTTATAATAATTAGAATTATAATTTTAATTGCTATATTTAAAGATTAAAGCGTATTGTAATCATTTTCTCAATAAAATTTATCTTATTATTAAGAAAGACTGTTCTAAAATGAAAATAATACTGACACCAAATGTCTTCTTAATAGACGTTTTTTGGTTGATTTTAACCCTTTGCCAAAAACTTTGCCGATGGCTGGTTTAAATGCCATTCGTTTGTAGCAAGCCCAAACAAAATATTCACAGTGGCAAAACATAAAAGAAAACATCCGACACACAGTTATAGTTACTAATGTCTAGTGGAAAATATATAAAGGTAAACAAAAAGTAAATACATTAATCAAATCCAAACTTAAACTGCCAGTGTTCATCATTTTTAATTAACCATGCAGTGGTACTTACTTAACCATACTTAAGAGATCTAATTTAGCATATTATATTCTCTCTTACAGGAAAATATTCTACTCAAAAGTCGTGGTAGCAGCTCCATCAAGGTCATCGATTTTGGAAGTTCTTGTTTCAGTAACCAAAGGGTTTACACTTACATCCAGTCCAGATTCTACAGGTCACCGGAGGTAAGTGTAGAATCTTTCTACTAATGAATGGAATTCATATATATGGAGGCTCGGAACTTACCATTCTTGATGTCTGTGAACATACTTCAGAGAACTGAATAAACTTTATTTGGCTTAATTAAAAAAGTAATAGTATTTAAATTGAAAATTTAGGTTTTGCTTTTAGTCCTTGTGAAACCAAAGGAGAAGTTCTAAAAGTATGAATCAACTATGATCTGGAGTTGCGAGTCATATGTGATGCGGACAACAGTAAATTGTCGCATACTTTACTCTTGCAGATAGAACATATTAGTGAAATTTAAATCAAAGAGCCTCAGAATCGGTAGGGTATAACAAATATATTGAGCCATGCAGCTTGTGTATAACATTTTATGACCTCTTGATGAAAATGTAGGTCTGATATATGTGACATACTCTAAAGATTGAAACTCTTCGGATTACTTTTGCCTAACCTAGACTTGGGTTGAGAACTAAACTAAAGCAAATTAAACATGGTTGGCTCAATTTAAAGCTAATTCAATATGCCTCAACATATCAGTGCAATATATAGTATAATGCATTATTGAAATATGTGAGACTATTTAGGTACGTGTCCCGTAGGTGATCCTGGGTCTTCCTTACGGTCCTCCCATTGACATGTGGAGCCTGGGATGCATCCTGGCTGAGCTGTACACGGGTTATCCCCTCTTTCCCGGGGAAAATGAAGCCGATCAACTAGCGTGCATTATGGAAATATTCGGGCCACCTCCGCCTTCCGTCCTTGAAGCTGCGTCGCGGAGGAGACTCTTCTTCGGTAAGCTGGAAGTTCAATTCTGTAATATTTGATTTACGTCTAATCAAATGTGATGTTTCACATGAATTTTAGTTCTTATGTTTATTTAATAAGTAGGTAACTGAGTGACTGGGCATAATTTAAAAAACATGATTCGTAAGTGCGATACTGTTTCAATCTTTCATTATATGAAAACTCACAAAACTACAGAAAATGAGAGGCCGAAACATACCAAAAAAGGATTTAGTACTTCAATTGAGTAATTTTCCATGTCTTTGTATAACAGTGCATTTACAAAGTTTTATTACTTAAATTTCGAAGCTATAACAATGGAGCTGCCAGGCGATATGTATAGTAACTGTGATTACTATCGCATTTCTTCTTGCTTTCCTTAAAATAGCTTCTACTTTTTGAAAACACTTTTAAATGAGTTCTGTTTTTTATTTTATGGAAACATTACCTATTATTTTGATTCTAGTGTTTTTAATTATCTCTTCAACAGCTTTAGGACCTACGGAATATTTCCTGTTTTTAAATTAAATTAACCTCTTTCAGACAGAAAATTGTCTGGATATTTCCATTATAAACAATTTAAACAAAATTTCATGATATTTCAATTTTACAGAGTTAATTTTTTTTTATTTTTTGCATTTATGATTCTGAAAAAAAAAAAAAAAAAAAAAACTTGAAAGCGTAGGAATTTGAAAGAAATTATTTCCACTTGTTTGCCAAATTACTAATTCCAAAATCTAAAAAAAAATATCTTTTTCCCCTCCACCAAACTCGGAAAGTTAACTTTGATATGAAAATAATTCCATTATTCAAAATGGAGTTTCAAAATTGTACTGAAAGATTTAGAAAGAAAACCGTAAATTATGACATTTAAGCTCACTATCTTTTATGCAATGAACTCTGACCTTGATCCAAAGCACGAATGGAAGTAAAAGTCGATTCCAGCTAAAAAGCATGAATTTTATTACACGATGCAGCCGACTGTTATCTTATCTATATTGTATCAGGCAAATCTAAGAAGAATTTACTGCTCAAGTGTAGAATGAAATTTAATAGACCTAAACGTGCTTGAATTGTATATCAGTCAATGCTTGTTCATGCTGCCCCAAAATTTTATGATACTCACACTCATGAGATTAGTTTACCATGTGGGAGAAAATGAGCGAATAAGAAAGACTGATGAAATTTTATAACAGAAATGCATTAAATATAACCAACAAAATTTAGAAATGATCAAAACGCGTTAAATTACATGAATTCAGTCAACGCAAGAACAGATGAGCATCCTCATTTCAAAAGACCTGTTACATAAATAAATCGGTAAACTATAAAATTAGTCAAAGAAACAACCTTGTGTTCTGCGCGTATTTTAACCAAAACTCTGTCAATTTCGAGGGCAAACAAATGCAAGTTGTTTTGCCTAATTTTTATGTCTCATTTTGAGGTGTTCCTCTTTTCTATTTAAATCAGTAAACTACTTGCGTGTCGTTAGAAATATTTGGATAGAAATAGCTGTGCAATAAAGTACAGCTATATTCTTCAATTTTTATTAAAATATTAAATAAAGCAATATATAAATATTAAATAAAACAAATACATATTTTTCGAATTTCATTTTGCCTAGTATTTTTTGCCTCTCTATATTTTTTCTTTGGCTTGTGAAGCTGTTATTTTTGTAATATAAATATTTTTGGAATGAAATTGAAAATTTCCTGGGATTTTAAAACCTTGAAATTTGAGAAACAATAATAAGTTCGAGAATTTCCTGAATTAATAAATTAATTATTAATTCAGGAAATCTCTAAAAAGAAACAGGTTTCGGGAAACCACTGTCACTACTGCCAAAAGAGTTCCAAGCTGAGACTATTTCGTAATTCAGAGATAAATAAAACGCAACAAAGAAATAGAAGAATATACCGATATTTCACTTATACAAAGACATCTAGGAGTCCAGTGAACGAATCAAGAAATATGTTGTATAAGTAGAAATTTTTGCAGATGGTTAAACAGAGCTGCTTGCAGAGATAAAGATGTTCTTATCAGATCTCCATTTATGAATTTAGAGCTCAAACCTTATGGATATGTTCTAGCAACTGAGAAGTTAATTAAAAAATATGTGATTTTATTTTCGAATATTTAGATTGGCAAATTACTTGCTTTGCATTAATATCGATATTATTTCTTTTATTATTATAGGAAGAAGCGTACTATAACGGAAAAATACTTTACTGAGACCTTGAACTCATAGCGCTTTTAATGTTAAACTCGAAATGTACAGCAGACGGCAGCATTTGTTGTTTTAGTATTAGCATAATTGCTGCACGGCTTCATACATAAATAAATAAAGATTAAGAGATTTCTTCTTATATACATAATTGTATCAGTTTTGATTTCACAAATTTCTAACATCAGCAGCCGCAGTGCACTACAATCAAAGATTTAAACTTACTTACTTTTCTAACAGCTCGGTGCACCAGTATGACTTACGCGTTATTACACACGCACACATATTACACAATATTTTTTAATAACATAATATAATCGGGTATAGTATTTTCGCACATTAAGTTGCTGAAAAATTATCAATTTAAAATATCAGTTAAAAGTTTTTTCCTTGTTTTGCGGAGGAGACAGAATTTTCAGGTGAACTATTATACTTAGAATACATTGATTCATCAGCTAATTTTGGGTACAAAAGGCAACGATTTTTTCGGAAGAGAGATTTCAATTGATTTCAATGTTTTTCCTCTTGATAGAGTGACATTGAAGTTGATTAAATTCCTCTTCTTTTATATTCTTTATATTTTTTAAAGTTCATTAATTTTTTGAATTAGGGTTTTAGTTGTTCGAAGTATTTTAGTTTTAGTATTTATTAAATTTTTTTACACCTTTATACGATTTTTTGAAATTTATTACTTATGAATTTTAATTTTTGGTATTTGTGAAAAACTGATTCTAAATTTCTTACTTTATGTCTTTACTTATCTGTCTATCTATCTCTCTCTATATGTATGTGTGTGTTTTTGCGTACGTATATATATATATATATATGTGATGTACCAGCTTTAGTCGTAGCTTAAATTATCAGACGATAAGTTAAAAAAAAAAAAAGGGGGGGGATCCATTTATTATTATTCAGGAGAAATAGCAGTTACAAAATAAGATATCCGGAGTAAATAAAAAGAATTATTAATAACGTTTTGTATGAAGTTTACTGCATCGTGACATTTAAGAAAAAAGCCCCGATATTCTTTTGCGAGTTCTTTTATAGCCTCTGGAAAGGCGGAGCTTCCAAGAAATGACGTCAGCCTCGTCAGCCAAACCAGTTCGCTTTAAATATTTCCAGAACATTCTATAACTGTACGTGTAGAAAAGGCGGGAAAAACAACTTGACTACGGGGCTGTGAATTTAACTCCATGTACCTTCAAAATAGAGAAGGTCGCCATTAAAATGAAAAGAACATACAGTTAGAATTTTAAGTGGATTCTTGACTATGGAATTTTATTATTACATATATATATATATATACACCACATTAGCTCTCATATACATTAAAACCCTACAGAAGCTTGCGTATGTGTAGTATATATATCTATTAAGTTAAAAAATTAGAACTAAGCAGATATAAAATTTTGCAAGATTACTTAGCTAAAAATACGATAAAAGCTGTATTATTATTTTCAGACAAATTTCAGGAAAAATATTTTGTTTCTATACGTTTAAAATTAGCTAAGGCACTGAATTAATAATTTAAATGTTTTCCGTACCTCTGGAAAATTAAAAATTCAGTTCGATTCAAACTAATTCAATTCGATCAAAAGTTTCACTCAAATTAAAAATTTAAATTCATTTTTTATGTAATTCTTAGGTTAAACAACCTTGAATGAATGACAACCAAGAAATGAATCTAATTTAGAACGTAACAGTGGAAGGATAGTTGATTTTTCCCTGTGATGAAACCTGTGTTTTTGATCTTGCTTGTTGTAAATTTTCAAATTCAAAACTTTTGGAAATTGACTGTTTGTCTACGAAAGTATACAGACATATGTTTCTTTTAAAACTCATATGATGTGGTAAAAACTGTACGAAATTCAGTTTAGGAAGAGAATTTTGAGATATTTTTTCCTCGTTTCAGTAGATTCGAAAGGAGTTCCGCGGACGCTCACCAACAGTAAAGGAAAGAAGCGGAAACCCTGTTCTAAGACGTTGGGTGTCGTTCTTGGCTGCAATGATGAAGATTTTGTCAACTTCCTCTCTAGATGCCTTGAGTAAGTGAGAGTCTGATAGATTTGCAAAAAATAAATTTACATAAAAAAAGTGTATAAAAGCAAAAGCTTAATTATCTTGTTGATTCTAAGTGATTTTTATGTTTCGTGACTGATAAGAAAAATAGGGAATTCGTTGGATTTCCGGGTGAAATGTAGCTCGAGACAAATTTTAAGAAGAAGCTATACGGAAAAAGTAAGAGTACAGGGACACATGCATTTAACATTGAGTAAATAGCTCGGTAATTTGTATTGAAATTGAGTGAGTGAGTGAGTGAGTGAGTGCACCGCTATGATAGCTTTCGATTACGGACATGGACCAAACGGAATTGTATACCATCACAGCGGGGAAGACTCCAAAGTAACAAGGTTGAATATTACCTACTAATAACAGTTTTTACAGTTTGATAACTGCAGGCACTAAGCGTTATTCTGGTTATTTGCTTTAGTTCTGAACATTTGAGACAAAATATTATTCACGGTTGTTTCTGCTTAGGCAGTGTCTTGAGATTTTCTATATTTCACCAAGGGCTACTTGTTTTTGAGTGTATTAGACGTCCACATTGCCCAGGCATAGTCCGCTGGTTTCTTCAAGTGCCAGGTTCTTGTATGTACACAATGGAAGTAATAATGGTCCACGTCGCCTTCCTCTCGGCATTCGCAGAAAGGAGTATCCCTAAGTCTGAATCTGTTGAGGTATACTGGGAATGGTCCATGACCTGTCAAGAACTGTGTTAGGCTTGTACAGTGGGTCTTTATTTCATTGTTAACTTTTGGCAGTAAGCGAAATGTCCTTCGCCCTACCTCTGTCTCTGTCCATGTACTTTGCCAATTTTGTAGCAGACTTGTCAAAGTTGTTCGCTTAAGGTGAGACCAAGGAAGATTAGTTGGTCTTTCTATTGAATTGAAATTGAATAAAAGTAATTAACCAAATACTATGTTATCTGTAACCGTAATTCCGCACTCTTTTTGCTTTCCAGAAAGTACCAGAAATATCTCACGACTGGTTGAAAGCTTTAAAAGGCCGAAGAAAGACCATCTTCTCACAGTTGCTTAGCTACTGTTATTGCGAGTTGTTTAGTCCCGCGAGAATTGAGATTAGCTTTCTCTTTAAACGGTCTTTGCTCTGCGTTATATTTAACGTTTTTAATAGTCTGAAGTATAAATACTGACTATATTGCAAGATATTGTGAGAACTTATACGAATATCTCTGAGAAAAATTGTTCTGATATATTTCTTTTGATAAGAATAAATTTCATTAACCTATTATCGGACTTCATTCTATTACGACTTCATTTCTATTATTCATTCTATTATTCATTCTATTACGAATCCGTACGCCCGCAACAATAATCTCTAAAATCAACGTATGGCTTTGAAGTTTTTTAAAATTTACTATTAAGAACTTTTGTTAACTGGATGTTTTATGGCCGTAATATATATTTCAATTGCATGTAGTATAAATTTATCTTCAAAATAAAGTGAGTTGGAGTGAATAAAATATTATTAAAACTTTGGAGCTTAGAATTTCTTTGAAGCAATACAAAGTTCGACTTTTATTCGTTTTTAAAAAGCATTCATCTTATTACACTGAATTTAATTATTATTAGAATACAATTCCATTTAAAACTCTCCTTTTCATTTCTAGCTCTATTACGTATCTTCTACTAGATTAATATAATGTTAATTAGGAATTGAGATTAGCTTTCTCTTTAAACGGTCTTTGCTCTGCGTTATATTTAACGTTTTTAATAGTCTGAAGTATAAATACTGACTATATTGCAAGATATTGTGAGAACTTATACGAATATCTCTGAGAAAAATTGTTCTGATATATTTCTTTTGATAAGAATAAATTTCATTAACCTATTATCGGACTTGTGTATTCATTCTATTACGAATCCGTACGCCCGCAACAATAATCTCTAAAATCAACGTACGGCTTTGAAGTTTTTTAAAATTTACTATTAAGAACTTTTGTTAACTGGATGTTTTATGGCCGTAATATATATTTCAATTGCATGTAGTATAAATTTATCTTCAAAACAAAGTGAGTTGGAGTGAATAAATATTATTAAAACTTTGGAGCTTAGAATTTCTTTGAAGCAATACAAAGTTCGACTTTTATTCGTTTTTAAAAAGCATTCATCTTATTACACTGAATTTAATTATTATTAGAATACAATTCCATTTAAAACTCTCCTTTTCATTTCTAGCTGTATTACGTATCTTCTACTAGATTAATATAATGTTAAGAATATCATAAGGAAAAGCACTTAAGGTTACAATAAGTCTGCAAATTGGATCATCTATCTGTCCGTAATTACAGCAGTATTATCTTGTATTAAATAAAAAGCTGTAGGTATTTTACCCTGTATTATAGCTGTAGGTAAATAAAAAGCTGTAGGTATTTATTGTAGGTATTTTCATTATATATAACATTTTTGTACATTTATTCATATTTTATAACAGTAAATTACACGCTAGACTAATGTTTACATACATTTTACCAGTTCATGACGCACTGTCGGTTCTTTTAGGGCAAATTCTAGGCTAATTCTGTTTGTATTTCTACCCTATTTGAATAATCTGAGATATTTTAAAATTAACTCGAATCTCCATAAAATATACTAACATAATCATTGAAATACACCTGAACATAAATGCAGCCAAGACCTTATTATTTTCATTATTTGTTTTCAAGTTTTGTCCCACTAAAATGTTTTCCCTGGAAACTTTTACAATTTGTTTACTTAGTTTAAATTTAAATTTTCGTAATGTGTTTACTTTGTTTAAATTAAAGTAAGTTCTAGAATCACTTTGAGCAAATCTGAACATTTAATATTCAGTTAGCAATGTATTCGAATCGTAGATGAATGAATCGAATTTTTTTTATTAACCGGTTAGTTTATTTTAATTAGATGTTTAGTTTTTCTCGCTTTCCATTTTTCTGTCAGAATACTAATTTCTAGTTCGCGCTATTCAGATGAGGTAGAAAAGAGATAGTATTTAAAAGAAAGTTTTACAGAGCTAGTGTTTAAAGGAAGCCTATTAATGGTAGAATCAAAGTGTGTTCAGCCTGCTGAAGCCACGTTGCTAGTTGATTCTATTGGGAGCAGTTTATCTGGAAGCGTTGCTTTATTTTCACCATTAGGTTTTTTCAAGCCGATTTTAGTTTTGAGCCATCTTGTACTTACTTTGTCTGTGTAGCTTTTAGGGCTAACTTACGATTAACTTAGTCTAATTCATTACTTTTTGATTTACGCCATTTGCTGGCTGGTTCTGTAAGCACGAGCAATTCCTTTTCTTAATCTAGTGATTTTTAATAAAAGGATCTTTTACACACTTCACAGTCTCTGCTGTAATTTCCAAGACATAGCGATAAGTAGCTTATATCTCTGTAGAGTTCTCATCTAGTTTAGATTACCAAAGAGAGAGAGAGAGAGACTGTATAGAATACAGAAATTAAATGGCTAAAAATGTCTCGCAGCCACCAAACTTTAGATTTCAGGTTCAAAATAAATATAAATTTTAAATGTTTCTTTTGAGATGTTATTATTATTATTGTTGATATATGTTTTAATTAACATGGAGTAAGCAAAATTTAATTTTTTTTCTAATAATTTTTTTTTATTTTGTTAAAAAGAAGCTAAAAAAATTTAATGAAGATCTGAAAGGTTTCAGATTTTAAATTACATCCAAAGGGGCGTTTTTTTTTTAACGTTTTGTGTGTTACCTTTGTTTATTAAATATCCATGTTCTTCGCACTTAAACCATAAAATTCAGCTTAAGATTGTTGCTTAATTAAGAGCAATATCACAAAATAATTTTAAACTGAGCCTATGCTTTAGAATTTTCCGATGCAGAGTCTCGCTCACGCTGGAGATAAAAATGTGTTCCCCCCTCCCCTTTCTGTAGAAAGTTGCCACTTGCTCGCTTTGGAAATCCCTGGGTCTTGTTAATTAAAAATTCGTTAAAGTTTTACAAAATATGAAATCGATAATAAAGCAAATTCCAAATTTCAAATTTGGTCTTCCACATGCCCATATTCTTACGAGGATTACGCCATTCAAAATTCGATGGCTGTATGTACCTTTGTTTTATCACAGTGCGAGAAATATACATACATTTATGCAGATTTTTCATTATTTAAATTCTTCAAATATAATGCAGGACTCTAACATTTGGTGGCAACTGTTTGAAAAGTGAAACGGACATTTATAGTGATTCGACGCAAAATCGCAAAACAAAAACAATAGTTCTTTCAGGGACAAAGCCCCTTTCGACAAAATTATAATAATAATAATAATAATAATAATAATAATAATCAGGCTCGTCCGCTGTTTATAGATCTTCCATTCTTCCTCCATGTAATATGTGTTTAAGACAACTGCCTTAGTGTATTCCATCTAAGTATTCTGGGGGAAAAAGTGATGTTGAATCTTGCAAGGCACTACCAATTATTTAAAAGTGTCATGTCGAGCAAAATACGTTGTTATTAAGAGTGTAGAGTCATTAGGTTAATTGGAAGTAGAAAAGATAAAAAATATGGAACCGCCTTCGCCGGGAATCGAACCACGGACCTGTGGAATACCGGCCCATTGTGCTACCGTTACACCACGAAGACACACTAGGGAAGTGGGAGAAATACCTTATATACTCCCCTTTTTAAAGGGCGACTAGGGTTTTAGGGGACCTAATCGCCAAATCCTGGGTGCGGAGAATCATCATCCACAACCCTTTTAGTTCGGATGCCACTTGTAGAATCATTAAGTTAATTGGAAGCAGAAAAGATGAAAAATTTGCAACTGCCTTCGCCGGGAATCGAACCACAGACGTCTGGGAATACCGGCCCAGCGTGCTACCGTTACACCACGAAGGCACGCTAGGGAAGTGGGAGAAATACCTTATAAGAGCTTAAAAGGAAAGCATTCATCTGCTTTACCTTCTCTAAACTCTGCCCTTTTTTTTTCATTTTCTTTCTATTATAAAGGTCAGAATTTTCTGAGGCGTTTATTTCAAAGTTCTTTTTATGCACCTTTAGACGTAGGAATGATAGAAATTTATTATTTAGTTATTTCTATCATTTCCTTATTTAGTTATGAAATAAGAAATTACAATTTCCAGTTCTTCCGTTCCAGATTCTTGACAAATTTAGCGGATCTTTAGAAGTGATAAATCTTAATTAAAAGAAGATATATTTAAATCATACCAAAGTAAAGAAGCATAACTTAACTCCAACAATACATAATACTTAACAATGTAATTAGGGTTACGAAAAATGGTTTCTAAATATCTATTATTTACTTCCATATGCAACCCGCTTAACAAGCAAAGGTAATACTTTATTTCTGTTATTCACAAATTGCATGAAGTTTGAGATCAAACAGAATAGGGGGTAGGAATGAAATGCTTTTGACTGAAATGTTTCGGTGTGAGAGAATTTTAAAGGTGAAGGTGCTATTTCTTTTCTAGTTGGGACCCAGAGAAGAGGATGAAACCAGACGAAGGTCATCGCCATCGCTGGTTATCTGGAAACAGGGGTCCAGCCCACAGACGGCCCTCCACCACCTCTACGAAAGAAAATGGCCGTGAGAAGAAAGAACCCAGGAACAAGGAGACAAGAACAAGTAACGGACCGAAAGAAACAGCTCCCAAGAAAACACAACCTAGACGAAGTACGTGTTTATATTCGCAAACAATTTAATTTTTTTTTTCTGTTATGACTGCAGTATATTCTTTACATCCTTTTAATTAAAAAAAGAAATTATTTTCTTTATGATTTATTGCTTGCATTTTTGCTCTCAGTTGTCGAAATTGCCAGTCATCTTTGTTGCCAGTGCAATTAAAGTTGGTCGGGTCATTTAAATATAACACAAAAAGAATTTGAATACTTAAATATCATAAATTGAAAGTTATTGAGCAAAGTGTTTGATAAATTTATAACAGCTATCTTGCCATAATTACGATTTAAAAGTCTGCTGCAAGCAAGACTGAATAAGGCAAGAAGTAATCACTTCCAGACTTTACTGCAAAGCATATTTTCCTTCCCCCCCTGTAACGGCGATAGTTAGCAATAGCGTCAAAGCATTTTTAAAACTTATTTTTTGACGCATAGAGATGCTTTTATTTTGTTCGAATCGCTAATGGCTGATAGTTCCAAATACATTCCAAACAGATTTTAACAAAGGAATTTATTTTATAATTTGCTTCCCACCCGCATAGCATTATTTAATTAAAGAACATTACGCTTGCAAGCAAATTTTTCCAAACTTCAAGACCTTTTTATTTATAAAAGTTCTGCTTCGACTATGTCTACGGGATTGTTTATTAAAGTGTAAAAATATTTATAAATGTATTGTTTTCTTTTATTCTGATTTGCATTTCTAATAATGCATGAAATTTTCACCGTATTTCATTCTTTTTCATTTGCCATGCTTTATTTATATCTTTAAGCCTTTAATGCATGTGAAATTATTTTTAAATTTATGTCATTTTAATTATATTTAATTATATTTGCCATGTAACTAGATACTATTATTTAATATCATGGTACATATGGGTTTTTCTTTATAGGATTGTGTAATTACAAATAAAAAACGCTTTATTTTATAGACCTTTCATGCGAGTATTAATCTTCTATATTGCAATAAAAGAAAAAAGAATTTTTAAACAAGAAAAAAAATCGGAATTATTCTGGCTTTTTTCGAAGGGACTGTTATGACTTTTTGTCTATTTTATGGCTTTCTATCTTGGAAGAAATTTAGGGAATATCTGGTTTTCGATATCTTGGGTTTTTGAAAAAGCTTATAAAACGATACATTGTATCTTTTATATGTTTCAGTTTTAAATTTCAATTAGAAGATACAGCTTTTTCGTTTTTTTTTAACCTCAAAATTTGCAAACGGATTTTTTTATCGAGTTAAATACAGAATTTTCTTAGCTTAAAATATTTGACTTATATATCCCAATAGTCCTTAATATCTACAAATACTATTTCAGCATTTTCATAAAATTTTCCGTATATTATTTATATTCCGATCAAATGTTTTAATTTTTTAATACGTATTTTATTGCAAATTATCATCCATTTATTAGTTTCGTAATTGTGATACCTGCTTTTCAATTTAAATCAACGACTCCTTTCATTCCTACTTTTATACAGTTGTAAAACGCTCCAAATATCTGCAAAATATTCAATTACTTTTAAAATTTTTTAAGCATTGAATTGTACATTCATCAGTTATTTCATATCTGAGAAGATTTAAAATCTAATTTTATAAAATCAGATCATAGTTATCAAGTGATATAAATCATCATTTGTATCATTTCCTCCTTCTTAAAAGAAAAATTTAAAACTATTGTATGCAAATGTTATGTATAGAATAGTTCTAAAATATATTTGCTTTCTTATTTTTCGAAAATTTGTATTCTGTAAAAATAAGAAATATTTTACTTTTTCTCCTGAAATCATCAAGAGCTATTTATTGAAATGGAACAATACTTGTAACAATATTTAATATATAAACTATATTACAAGCAAAGTGAATGAATGTCTGTTCTAAAACTTGCATAATTTTCCACATAGTCATTTCTCGTGCTTAATCAACGCATTCTTAATTTGATTTCCTTAATATTGAGAGATAAAAAAACTAACTGACTGGTCATCCTTGGTTATACTATTTTTGAATGCTTAAAGGGCTTGTTACATGACGTTTTCTATAAAACATTCCTCGTAAATGCATTTAAAACCAGGAAGATACTTTCTCTAATAGGCGGTTCATACTAAACTGCTTTGTCGGAATCAAATAAGCTTAAAATTAGTAAAGAAACAACCTTGTATTTGGCGTAGATTTAGAACAACTTTGTATTTGGCGTAGAATATTGAAGTTTCGTATCAAGAAACAAGAATCTTATGTTCGAAAAGGCGAAAGTAATAAGTCTTCGATAGCTAATCATAGGTAGGAATTTAATCATAATTTTGACTGAGTCTGCAAAAATTATCCGAAAAGCTTCTTCCATTAGCTAATTAGATTTTCTTAAAACTTTTTCAGTTCACAAAGACTTAGCTTGTTTACTTAATGACTTTAAGTGCAATTCAGACCTTCCTAACGTTTTTAAAATTCTATTAATGTTTTTCAATTTTTGTTGCCGGCAGATGGAGCTACCTTCCTGTTCGCTTTACTGCAGTAGGGTATAAATAGGACCGTTAAGCCCGCTGCTTTCCCAGTCGTGCAAATTTCTTTGCTTCTGATGAAGAGGGAACTGTTTGCCCTTGAAATCGATTGAATTTTTCGTCTAAATCTACGCCAAATACAAGGTTGTTTCTTTACTAATTTTATGTTTCACTTTCGCCTGTTTCTCCTCTGATTTGATCAAATAAACTGTTCATTACTTAAAAACTATTTGAATTAATTTGCACAAATTTAGTCTATGGCATTCCAGAGCTTTTTCTAACATCTGGAAGTTCAGAAGAAACTCTTGGATTTTCTCGAATCAAGAATAATTCGTTTTGCATGAGAGTGAAGTTGTTAGCAGCTGGGAAAACCCTTGAATGACGAGACAAAAGTAATTTACGCTACTTTTACCGATTCATTTTATTACTTCATTCTTAATGGCTGATGTAGTTCCGTGTATCAACTAGACAGATGCCTGTAAAATTAGTAAGTAATGAGTAATTAGTTTATATGGAGCCTAATAGCCTTATGCCCTGCTAACCCGAAAGCCCTTTAGTTAAAGAAACTAAACTCTCGCAAATGAAATTTATTTTTTGAAAATCGATTTTCTCCATAGGTCCTTTTCTAAGCTGTTGAATGATAGCTTTCTCCCCATTAGTAAATAACATTTTCTTCCCCTGATATTCAGATAAACTGAAATTCTGACTTGCATTTACAAAGAAGTTGACTGATTTAAATATTATACAAAGGACAGTATTAATTATAATAAAATGTTAATGAGTAGTGCTACTTCCATTTGCAGTGAGCACAAGTTCCACGATGCCACGTGTGTATAAGGCATGCAAGAACAATGTGCGGCTCCGAGATTCCTCAAGAAAAGACTACATCTACACATCTCTCAGCAAGACCTCTTCTGAAGAGTCGTGTGAGTCTCTCCCAATTCGATCTGTTGTATAGAAGCATGTATAGATTTTATCAATTCTAAATTTTGGTTCGAAATCAGTGCAGATCAGTTATGTGCTGTGTTCCATTTTGCATAGATATTTTCTTGAATTTTTAAGGATTTTCTGATGCTATTTCAATATTAATAATAGAAGGTGCAGCCATTAATATCTAGAATCATGATAAAGTGCTCTTTAATGTGGACTTCATCGTCTTCTTGATGGCGTTGATATCCTCTAATCTTGTTCCCTTCAGCAAATTTTTCAGTTTTGGGAACAAGGCAAAAATCTGCTGTAGAGTATGAAGGCTTCTGCATACCATGAGCTCATGATGGTCTCACAACCGTTTCATGGGTAACGCAATATCGGTCTGGGCATTGTCGTGCAAATCAGCCAACTTCCATTCTGCTGAAGACGAAGCCTTACTCTGCGAATTCTTGTCGAAGTTTAGCACGATCCTCTGCGTAAAACTGCCCAGTGAGAAATTCATGATAAATTAGTCGTCGTTATCGAAGAAATCGATAAACATTACCTTAATTTTGGACTTTTGGAACCGAAACTGTTTCTGTCTTGATGAGCTTGGAGACCGCCATTCGTAGCAAACCTTGCGCTTCCTGGCCAACCATCTGCTTGGAAATGTTCAGCTCACTGGAAAGTACTCGAATAGTTAATCAGCGATCCGAAGGTACGAGCTTACGAACTTTCTCAATTGTTTCTGGAGTCCGCACGGAATACGGCCTCCTCCATTGTGCGCGTCATCTTTGACACTTTCGCAGCCATTCCGAAAACGGCTAAACCATATAAAATTGTGTGAACTGGATAATGTATCATCTTCGTATACTTGTTACAACATTTCATGGGTTTCTGTGGCAGTTTTGCCCAATTTGAAGCAGAATTCAATGTTAATTCTCTGTGTCCATATGGACGCCGCCAACAAAAAATTAATAGAGAGTTTTTAATGCCTGTTTCAAGAACAACCACTCGCTTCCGAATGGCGCCGACTTCATTGGATATGCACGGATAAACGAATTTCATATACAAGCATTACCGCGTTCTGACGATTTACTGTTCTCGTACAGTTACGTCAGGTCTGGAAATTAATGGCTGAACTTTGTATTTCTTAAAATATTACCCAAATAATTATTTATATTTTCATTATTATAAGTCACATGTCTCGCTGTATAACTGAGAAATGTTCTCTGTTTGCTATAACAAAACTGGTAGTGGAAGGGATCATATTTTACAACGATTCCTTGATTTTTTTCCTGGGTCCTGTTTTTAATTAACATTTCGTTATTTGTATGCTTATAAATGCTATGCGATAAGCAATACATCTTTGAAATGCTTTGAGAGTGTTACATGGCATTCCTTTATTTGATTCTATCTGCCGTCATTTCGAAGCCAGTTTTATAACTAAAAGACAGCAGTCCTCTGGGATTTATGCAATTTAAATAAAATTTTTAAAGGATGTTGGCCAAACTATAGCACTATGGTTTGGCAATAATGCCTGAAAAAATTCAATTCTCGTACTTGCATAATGATTTTATTTAAAAAAAAAAACTGCTATTTTTATTGTTGACTCTTTTCTTACTTTTTCCATCAGGGTTTATCAAAATGTTAATTAGGAAAAGATTATATATTTCAAACAACTATTATTTAGTTAGCTTATATTGGCAGTTGTTTATCTAGTGGTCCCATAATACCATTAGTTTAGTCTGGGTCCCAGGTCATTGTGATTTTGCTGAAAATGAACTAGCTGATAAAGTAGCTAAAGATGCTTCGAAACTACCCCTTGTCTGCCCAGAACCATTTACCCAACCCAGTTCATATCAAACTGTTAAAAAAGAAGTAAGAAGCTGGATAAAGAACAAACATGATGATATATAGTCTAAACTACCAGACTGTGCTCATTCTAAATTGGTGCTCAGTACACTTAACTTATCAGGTAATCTCATACACCTCAGTAGAACTAACTTACGCCGGGTAATTCAAATTGTTACCGGACATGCTTATCTGGCTAAGCATCTCCACAAATGTGGTCTTGTCGAATCTCCTTTTTGCCCAGCTTGTGGAGAAGAAGAGGAAACACTTTTTCACTTTCTGGGACGATGTCCGGTGTTTTCTGTCCCTAGAAACCAATTCCTTGGGTTTCCCTATATTACCTTTGATCAAGCCCTTCTATACAAAGGGCTCTCTGGCATAATTGGGTTTCTGATGTATAATAAACACCTACAGGTAAGGTGAATTTGAAACCACAAGAAACAAGCATTGAGACGCCCTGTGAGTTTTTTTTTTTTTTTTTTTTTTTTTGAAAAGAAACTATGCAGGGGTTTCCCTCTCATAGCTGTGTTTTGGAATATAATTTGAAAATAGATATCAAATCTTTATACACTACCTGGCCATTTGGCTTGAGAAAGCACCTCTGCCCTCCTTATTTAATTTTTTTTTTTTTTTTTTTTTTTTTTTTTTGGACTCGCCATCGCACTCTTGTTTGGTCAAGAATTTGAATTTGGTGGTTTGGGAGGGATTGAATCGGCTTTTCATCCAATAGGGAAGTCTTCACGATCCAACCGACACCCTGAACTTAGAGATGGGATTTTTTGCCGATACTATAGATTTGGTGCCAGTTTGGGATCTTATCTATCTATTTATTACTTACCTTTCACAGGAGTTACCATTTAAATTCCTTGATTTAAATGATCAAATGGCGGAAGAGTAATGGGAAATATTGCCTAAACTCTTTTCCTCCTTTTCATAAGAAGGAAACGCCATTAAATGTGATGTTATGTTATCTAGTGGTCCAATCATAGCCTGGCTATCAAACGTATTGCTGAGTTTCCTGTTGTAAATTAAATGAGAGACGAGTTTTGAGTTCATTAGTGTGTTGAGAGTTGGTGAGACCTGTATACAGTAGATGAGAGTTAGCTATTTACAAGCGAAATTTGTATATTATTTAGGTTAAATATTTGGTTCCCCCCTTTAAGCAGAAGTGGATAAGTTTAGTGCATTTTTAGGTTGCCTAATTCTGAATCACAGAATAAAATTCTAATATTTCTATCTGAATATTTATTGAATTCTAAGCTACTAAGTAGAGCAGTTTAATTTCATCGGCAATAATTCATCAATTTATAAAAAAAATAGTAGGATTAGTTGTAGAGGAAGTAGAATTAGTTAAAGACAGTTTTATATGAATCGTTTTGCACCAAGTGTCATTTCGGAACTTCGCGAATTTTTCACAATAAAATGCTTTAGTGGTTAATTGATCTTCAGGCACATAATCTCCTTCATGACAAAAATCTTAATCAGTCGTTTTCGTGTTGCTGCAGAGCAAACTAGTCCATTGAATTCTAGGTTGGTTTGGCGTTATAATATTCTTTGACTATTTGATCTCAGGGAATGTGGGGTATCTCGCTTTAATGCTTAATGCTTAGAAATCAGAGATGTAGCTATGAATTACATTTATTTCTGTGTTCTGAGGTATAAACCGTATAGAGGTTATTCGGTCAAATCAGAGAGGATATTTGGAATATTTTGAAAAAAGACTTCAACAGAGCATTTCAGCTATGGTGCAAATAGTAAGATCTTAGCATAAACTTATAAGAGGACTGTTTTAAAAGGAGTGAAAGCTAATAAGGTTCAAAATATAATTTAGATAACAATGAAAATTCACTTGGCAATCTTTGTCTTTAGCCAAGGTTATACATTACTGAGCAATTCTGGTTTCGGCCACAATTCAGCAAACAATTAACTGGGAGACATAAAATTCATACTACAGAGGAACAATATAGTACTTACAGAAGAGGAAAATATAATAGGAAAGAAAGAATAGGAAGCATTTAGTACAGATTGAATAGAAAAAGGCTTTGTTGACACAATGGCGTTGTTAAAAAAGACTCTATGGCCAAGAGGAAAAATAATAAACTTAAGAGGCTTGGTATGGGATATGACCTCTCCTAACTACAATGGTTGCGTTACACCATCTGTCGCTACTCAACTCCATATTATTTAATTCTAAGGGTAATAGTGAAGACGCCACTTCCTGCTAGGCTTCTCCCTAAAATATTATTCCAAACGTGCTCAATGGGATTTAAGTAAGGGGAGCAAGCTGGCCAATCCATTTTTTTGGTATTTTCACTGAGTACTGTGTGGCCATGCAAAATACAAAGTCTCGACCAATGGCATCTCGGAAAAAATGCTCGTGGTGGCAGGACTTAAAAGAGAAGGGCTAGATCATAGAGCTTTTCCCCTGAAGCAGAAAGTGAGAAGTGATGACGTAGCCATGATGACACCGAGCGCGCCAATACAATTCACAGCTTGGAAGTTAGCGTTTTTGAACCAGCGTTTAAAATGAGCTGTGTGTGAAAGATAGCTATAATTTGGAAGAGGCAATGTTACTGCTTTATGCATTTTAGACTGAACCATTAAAAAATTTAATAATGCTTACTCAATTTTAAAATAATAGATAAAATGCGCTACTCTTTTAACATAAAGTTCCGTGGTTTTTTTTTTTAATTTTTATTTGCAGGTTTTTTTTTTTATTTAATGCACGTTTATTTCTAATCATTTCTTTACTTGCATGCTAACTGAGAGAATTTTTATACTGCTTCTAAGATAACTATAATAGCAGTTATTTAAATTTACTCAAAAACCAACTTTACATTGACATAGGTTTAAACATATATGACATATATGGCAACATTTCTGCTAACCTACGTTTGATTTTTTGCCTAATTGTAAATTTTACATTGTTATAATTCTCTTCCGATTCAATATAATAGATATTTTTTAAATAATTTTGGAATTTATACTTATATCTATATTACAATTAAATAAATGTATATAAGATTGTTACCTTAATTTTGACAAAATAGCTTTATTCAGAGTACCTAAAACAGTTACTTAATTTTTCAAAAGTGTGAGTAAAGGAAGCAGTCTTTTTTTATGCCAATTACTTTGATGTTTTATACTATTATATTTTATCTGGAATGCTAATCTAGCACAAAATCTAATCAATAATTAGTTACAAAGGATACAATAAGAATAACTTTAACAACTACTTAACAAAATTAGTTTGTTAAATACTTGTTATTTTTGTTGGTACTATTTTGGTACTATTCATAATACCGAAGATATTATCGATTAATTCATAGAAGTCAGATGCTTTCTGATTTCCTGTGGGGTAGAGCGGTTTTGCGGTACTTTTTGAAAATAATGTTTTCTCTGGAGCGACTTTTTGTCTCTCGTTTCCCTTGACCATTAAATAATTTGGTTTTAGTTTGTGACACAATTTGATTTCTTCACAATCTCTATTTAAAACCTCTTTAATAATATCAAAATTTAAAACAGTTACATCTTCTAAAACAAATCCTCTATCTAAAACGCGGTTTCTCAGTAATTTGAGGCAGAGCGCGAAATGAGACCTCTGATTAAAAAAACTGCACATTTTGAAAAGAACCAACTTAGTCCAGTTTAGAGTCTAGCAGAGTTTTCAATCTATATGCATTTCGTCGAAACTGAGAACGCATATTTTTTCTACAGAATACAACTATTCGCCTCTTTCCTTCTTTAGAGTAAGAACATTACGTTTTGAATTCTTGGACTACACTAAAATTTAGAAAACACTAAAACATAAAATAAACACCATTTCTTTAATTTGCTAATACTAGGTAAAGATATTCCAATTTTTTTCTTAATTTTTTTTCTTTCCAAAAATCATAGCTTTAAGATGGTAGAGCTCTTGTGACAATGCAACGTGAAATATTTTCACTAGTCCACCTGATTTTTTTCTTCTTTTTCAGTAATGCATTAATCTGCGTCTTTATAAAAATAGGCCTTTAGACATTTTTCCAAATTCTCCGATTTGTGCTCCCCCCCCCAAATTTCGCTATTTGAGATTTTAATTTCTGATACCAATTTCTGTCTAGATGTCGTCCCACCTTCTTTGTCGCTGAACAAACATTCTAAAATTTTTCTTTTCTCTATTTTTTCAATACTTTAATACAATTTAATACAATTCTCTAAGGATATTATTTTGTTCTTCAAATTATCAATGCATTCTTGTTTATCCTTATACATTCAGGATGATCTACATTTTCATTTGTGAGTTTTATTTCAAAATCATTAAAATTTGATTTATTATTGTCATCATCAATTTCGATTTATTATTGTCATCATAATTTACTTTTGGCACAGCATTCCATTTCAACAGTTTTCTTTTTGTGGCTATCCAAAACAAGCGATTTTTTCATATCATCTTCATAAACAACTGCATAGAAAATGTTCGCTGCAGATTTTCCGCTCTTCACATTAATAGAATCTTGTCTTTGACATCTTGTGTATCCATTCTTTCGTCAAAAGCAAAATCTCATTTGGATCCTTTGGTCTCCATGAAATAAAATATCTCATCCTTTCATACTTCTGTAAGTGCTACGGCACGTTACTACAGCGCAAAAAGCCATATTACGTAAACGGTACTTTACAATATAGAATTTAAAATAAAAACTTACTAAAATTACATATATATAAATTATTTTAAATATATACATTATTAGAAAAACAGATATATATATTATTAAAATTAATTTGGGATATGTAACCCCTAGAAAATCGTCTCGCAGCTCAATGAAACTACTGTTTTAAACGCGGGAAATCAGGACAGGTGGCATCACAGTGACGTCAGATTATTGCCTGTACGTCCGCCCATTAGACTCGCGTCGGCGAGGAGTCGAACAAAGAAATGAGCTAGCCCTTCTATTTATCCCTGTCGTGGTGGAGACACTTCATGCCAGCAAAGGTCTCCAGTAAGTGAATCTCAGTCGAAAATGTGGTGCTTCATCCGTCCATTCATTATAATGCCTTTCCATAGCAGCACGAAAGGACCACCCCAGCGATCTCTTTCCCTTACCTTACCTTAGTGAGATGAAAACGTGTCCCTACCTCTCTCCAATATCAGCTGGCACCGAGAGTCTTATGTCGAACTGGAACGACTCTCATTAGTAAAGAAACTGCATTGATGAGGTGACTAGCCTTTATATTCTATACACCACTGTAAACGTTGCCACGAATAGGCTGCTATGAACTGTATGCAGGTTAAGAACGACGGGCGAATTGCCCACCTTTATGAAGTCTTTATGAAGTCTGTTTTCCAATTGCCGTGCGCAACTGCTAAGCAATGTTCATGCTATCTGATTTAGAGTAATATATCAATTCTCAGTCACTGTTGGTTCCCTTGGTTGACCACCACCGACCTGTTGTGTATTTGTACCTGTCATTTGGAAGGATATCCAAGCTTATAAAACAAAATTTTTATTACTCTCAAACTCTTGGGCTACAGACGTCAAATAAATCCATTACTGTCCATTACCTTTCTATCGCCCCGCCCAGACCAAATAATGGTTAGTGACTTTGACTGCCGTACCAAACGGCTCGGGTTCGAATCCTGGAGAAGGCATGGATGTAAATTGTCTGTCCCTTTATAGGAGGCGACAGTGCCAGCTTATTAGATGTCTCCATAGTAAAATGTCCATCGTGTCTGATCTTAAGAGTGGCAAAAATCTGAAAATAGCTAATGCCCGCCATAAAAGAAAAAAAAAATTAAGAAGGATTTACTAACGCTCTGCTTTTTTTTAATGTAACAAATTACTTTGCATTTTCTGGAATGATGTAATTAAAATAAATTAAACAATGGCATATTATTTTAAACAATAACTTCGCTAAAATTAAAATCATAGCTTAGCCATTTTAGTACCAAATAGCATAATTGCCTGAGCTGCTACATTACATGTGCGACTTTCTTTCTTTCTTTTTTCTTCTAACAGTATTGCTGAAGCAGGGAGAGTTTAGCGCCGATGATCCCGTACCAAGACTTTATGAGCACAAAGATCCTCTTGAAGACTCAGGAACATTTTTGCCTCCTATATTGTGATGTTGTCTGCTCACAAGGTTTTGGCTGTTGCTTGCAGTACAGCCAGTACCGTATTCCGGAAGAAATTGCTTTGGAGGTGCCCAAGAAGTTGTCAGCTCCTTTGGATGACGATCCTTCTACCCTGGCACACCCTTATTTCAGACTGGAAACTGCACTGTAGTCATCCTTCATCAGTTTCAGTTCGGCACGCGGATGGAACCCGCAGAGTTCGTCGTGAAAGGCTGTGATCCTCATACAGGAGAAATGGCGAGTGAAACAATTTCAAGACACTTAAAATTTGTTTTCGAATTGGACCAGTGCCACTTTTATGTAAAATGGTGACATAATGGTTTCTTAATCCTTTCCGTACAGAGAATTATTATGAAAGCACATATGTAATTAGCTATGTGAAAGAAACTAGATGCATTTAAAGTAATTTTACTTCTCCCTTGAAGACAATCTTCGAAACTTCACTTCTTATTTCTCTCTCGAATATGATTATTTAGAAATATCCGTTGATGTTTCATTTTGTTAAAATTAATTATGAAAATTATCCTTCATGTGCATTTGAATGCCTCTATCTGTGGATATATCTCTTTTTTGAACATAAGAAATTCCTTGATTAATTTCAGATGAATATATTTGATCCTGCGTAGAAGTCATTTCAAAGCAACTGCTATCATCAAAACGTTTTAATTCATTGTGAACTTAATGGAGATGAGAAATGTTATGGATATCAGTCATGCCTTATTAGTAAGGAACTGTCATCTTTAACTTTTAAGTATATGGTCTTCAAAAATTCAGCAATGAATTTAACAGAATACACACAAACAAAACAGGAAACTTCGAGTTGTATAGGATCATTTTTTTCGAAGCAATCAATCGTTTTCAAGTTGCTGCAGAGCAAACTAGTCCATTGAATTCTCCGAACGTGTTGTTGCTATTATATTATTGTTGTTGCTATTATATACAGTAATATTAAAATATCATAAACTGTTGCAAAAGAGCGTTTTAAAACAATTCATCTCTTAGTTATAAATGTTCAGAAATAGGCTTTTGTAAACTCTGAATGAGAAAAACCTTGAATCTGTGCACCGGTCTATTTGAAATTATACATATCTTGCAATACTTATGTGTTCTTTCAGTAAGAGTTATATGTATTTTCTGCTTTCAGTGTATTCAGCCTTATTAGATTTTCCGATATACCTAACTTAACGCAATCTTCCCAAAATGACCAAATATCATTTTGCTTATGCATATCAACCATTACTTAGCTTCAGTTTCTTATACACAAGGACTCATTTTAATATTTCATTTCTTTCAAGAAAAATTCATATTTCTTTAGATCCTGTCATTTCGTGGTTTCCGTTTACATTACGTGGTAATAAACAAGAGTGATGTGAACAGAAAGCTGTTGTACTCATCTGTGTAGAAAGAACAGATACACAGTGTCATGCACAACAATAAATGTTATTATCCTGATGAGTTTAAAATGGTAGATATTTACGGAGATATCTCTGCCTGTATATATGTACATTCAAATTTAACGAGGACCAAGTTTTGGTGCTACCAAAACACTTTGGAAGAGAACACTAAGCTAGTGATTCATCAGATATTCAGAGAAATCTTTGCCAAAACCGAGCGCTATGGTGCTCTTTTATAAGAACCTGTACATACTGTTTTCGTACTTTGAAGACTAATTTATCTCTCTTCTTTCCTTCGGGTAGAATAGAGTAGAAAGACGTCCAGACTTATTCTCAATCACTCTTCCTGTCAATAATTCCAGTCTTTATCATTGAATGGATGATTTAAAATAAGATAAGATGAGACAAGAATGTAAAACATTTCAGTATTGCAATTTTGCATAACTTAATTCTTACGAAAATGAATTGATGGATGAACTTTTTCAAGGATTGTGTAAGACTACGTATTTTAATGTTGGTCTATGAATGCGCAATACTTGGATAAGATGACTTAACCGAATACATAATATTAATTCCTTTTCAGGGATGCTTAAAAATGTAACTTCTTTGAAAAATTGAATTGTATCAAATTTCCAATCAAAATGTCTTCTTTCAGGACATCCACCAAAGAGAGATAGTCCTCGTACACCTTTCTTTAACTTAAAACAACAGCCTAGGTTCTTTCTTGGGATTACCGTTAATACTATAATTAATATAAGTAAAATGCAAGTACATAGTAACATGTATTTAAAAACCTAATTCAGTCCCTAAAACTTTGAATGAAATATTTTGCTACATTAAACTGATATCTGAAAATTAATAGTCGGTATATGATGTTAATTTACGTGATAAAAAATTCTGCATTTTAGTATCTAAAATACTTCTATTTGAGTTATTATGTAATTCAGGTTCTGAAAAGCGTTACTATGTTTATAAGTACCGGCCAGGGAAGAACAAGATACCTCGAAACTTGGATTATGCTTAGTCTACTACACTTCTAAGAATGTGTGGGTTTACTGTTTGTAATGATTTCAATCACACTTATATAGACAAGGCTGTGAACCCTTTAACTATAAACCAATGTTTTCTCATGCTTTTAAAAGCAGAATCCAGTGGGGTGTGATCAGTGTTTCTTGGATAACAAAACATGAGCTCATTATTTAAGTCCATCTTCAAAAAAATTAATATTGTATGTATCCCACACAGTCATTGCAAATCCATCCTGGTTTATCAGATTTCTATTTTGGCCTAAAGTGATAGGGTAGGATTCTTTTCCTTGATGAACAAAAAGGCTCAAGAATGTTTACATATCAATGTTGCTGTTAACAATAAAGGAGGATCGATTATTTTACGGAAAATTTGTATTTGTTTTACCAGTGCAATTTATCAAAAATTTAACTCTTTGAATAAAATACAGAGTATAAAATATTAAATTCGCTTCTTTAAAATACGCTGAATGTAAAGAGAGGCCAGATTAATATATTTAAATTTTATTGTAAGAGATTTAATTATGCAGAATGGCAACAGAAATTACCACGATATCACTTCACAAAAAATGAAGTTTCTATCGGCATTTCTTGTCTGCATCATACCAGGGACATTAAGAAAGATTTGAGAAGCAATACGAGTGTCAGGAAGCAACAATCCTTGATACCTTTAATTAAGGCGAAAGTTTTTTTTTTACTTTTAACTCTCGTAATCATTCCATGGGGGAGTGTTAGATGTTTCGTTTACATCTGTCTTTCGAATGTATTGGAGTGTTCTTCGTCTTGAACTTTATCCCGACCTTCTCAAAGTAATGTTGCATTTAAACTGTTTGGAATTTGATTCCTCCTAAAATTGTTATCTTAAGAGTTAAAAGCAAAAAACTGACTAAAACAACACTAAACAGAATTAATTGGCACTTAAAAATAATTTATATATATGTTTTTTTAAATACTGCCTAAAATGTTGAAATTTTTAATTTTAATCAAATTAGCTTAAAAATCTAAGCCTTACTATATCTATCAATTCAGATTAGATAGAATCTTCATTTTAACTCTTAATTCAAAATGGAATCGCTCAGGAAGAAAGATAAAAACTTCTTTTGGTTGAAAGAAAAAAACTTTAAAGAGAGAAAATTAAGCAAATAGTTAAATATAATTCCATATATTTACCAAACGCTTAAAATTTTGGGAATTGAAAATATTAAAAAAGGGTTAAACTAATTCCATATTTTCACGTCAAGCCTTTTAGATGCTTAAATAAATTGTAGTACATTATGGAGTACAGCCTTTCTTAAGTACAGTCTTTCTTAAGTTATGCGACTCGGATAAACTAAACTTGATGACTCAATGACTAGTGAACGACCAACTGGTGAACTAAATATTCGTGGTACGAAATAGTAGAAATATGATCCACTTGCATTTTTTAAATGGGAGTTTACCTGGGAAATCAGATATATAGCAAAGCAAAATAAGAAAAACATATTATATTAAAAATAAGAATAAAGATAAAATAACGAAACTGGCAAAACACGGTAAACAAATTTTTCTGCTAAATTTAATTTAAATTTAAATTTTAAAATTTACAAATGGTATATAATATTTTTTTAGACATATGTTATTTGTTTCCCGTAAACTGTTTAAATTCTGGTGTGTCATTTTAAATGGTTCATAATATTTTCCATTTTTTAAAGAACTTAAAGTTCGATATAAAAAAATAATAGTACAAATGCGTAACTTAGATAAGAAGGGTCGGATATTGATCTTACTGTAGACACTCGGCCATCTTTTTGATTCAGCAATAACGTTGTCTGCAACCACCGTCTATGGAATAAGAGGCGAAGGACATGCTCTTAATAATTTCTCTAATACACTTGAGGACTGGCGTTCTCGCTCTCGACATAAGCAACCAAGCCGAATTTATAGAAGTGCCAAAAATGTAATCCCAATGATAAAAATGTTATAATTATTGAGGAAATACAGAACAATGTGCCAAAGTACTTTAGATGCAAGATTAGTATTATCTTGACATGCCACACCGTGTTTAGTGTTGAGACCTTTGAACATTTAATTTTCTTCAGATGTTTACGCTTTATATTCGCAGCCACGTGTTTGCTTCAAAGCCTACTGCAGTGGTTTGGTTGTATTTGATAAAAATCACCGCTTTGTTATAGATAATTTTTTTTCTAATTTAAAAAAATATTCAAAATCGCTGTTTTTGTAAAATTTTGTGCTCTTAAGCAGGTTTCTCAAATTTAGCACTTGAAATTTCTAAACAAAATTTTGAGCATTTCTGATTAAAAGAACTTTTTCGCAACCTCACGCTTAAGCGAAAACAGTATTTCACAAAACCTGCAATATATCTTCAATGATATTTACAAATTTCGTTAGAGAATTAAGAAATACTTTCCATAATATATAAGCTTATAGAATGTTTTCAATTAATGAATAACCCTGAGATATATCAAAATATACAAGTATTATAAGAAATAAATAACATTATTTGCAGCTATATAAATTTCAGTTAAGTTTTATTGAAGAAAAGAGAAACTGAAATACTTTTCTGAGAAATTTTATTTTAAGCTACGCTTCTCAAAATAATATTCCAATTATTTCATAGATGTAATTTACAAATTTTTCATTAATAATTTTTTTTCAATTATCCCCTTTGCATCGTTGATTATTAAACAAGTAATAAAATGTATAAAGTCAAATAATTCTCACGTATCATTAGATTATCATCTAATAATAAAATAAACAGGAAGTATATGCATGAACGCCATAATTTAAATCACATTTTCATAAAATAATAATATATGTTTTTATATACTTTAAATTTCTAACTTGGCAACATATTTTCAAAGTACAGAAAAGTACAGGAAAGCAAGTAAATTCGTTTTAAATATTTATAAACAAAATAAAATGTCCAAATCACTACCCCTTCTTCTGCTTAAAGATACAATAAATAGATTTTCATCTTAGACGTAATACAACTTTTAAACAACTGATAAGTTCCACAGTATTTTTCCATGCATTTATTGCTTACAAAGTCAAGAGCTTGAGACATTTAGACTTCCATTAAATAAGCACAAGTAGAAATGACTATTTTGTGTAGCTCTTTCCGTCATTTTCTTATAAATTCTACTCCTAAACTTCTTTAAACCTAAATTTTACTTCCACTTGAAATGGACAAAATAAAATCCTTTAAAAGTATAATTCTTAAAAGACGAACCTAAGTCCAAAAAGTAAGTTGAATATTTTAAAATTTTACACAGAAACTATATGAATATATGCTGTTAATGTTAATGACGAAATTGTTTTTTGTATGTTAATGTCCGTTTACTGGCATTTTGATTTTGATATGACAGGTAGGAGTACATCTGAAACGTCTTAAGACGTACTTCATGCACATCTAACACTTCATAAATGAATACTCACCAAGACTACTTTTCAGATAAATCCTTTTCCATTAAATCTCTGTGAAGACAATTCACATGGTCACATGGTAACGTAATGTAATCTGTTTCATTGCTTTAATTGGTCAGATATAATTCAAGAATATTGAGATTATCCAGATGCGCTGTAGAAATTTTTATATCACAGACAATTAAAACTACAGATATCTCACAGATACTTCCTATTCATTTTTAAGCAAAATTAATAACAGATCTTGCATCTTACATGGTCAAATCAAATTTAGTTTTGCAAAATCTCAAAGACCGTAGCTTCCGTTCACCATTCAAAATAGAATACTGCTTCAAGTATCAAAGGCTGTTACTGCTCATTGAGTAGTTTCAACAAAGAGGTTTCTTTTAAGTCCTTAGAAAATCACGAGGATTCCAGAAAACATATGTAAGAGAGCGATAGCGTCGGTCCACTATACCTTTGTTTCACTTACGTTGCCAATGTTCTTGTTGACAGCTGTTATCGGGTACAGGCCTTCCAAACTGAACAAAAGATATTGGCCGAACCCGAGTGTTAGAAATCTAAATTATCGTTTCATAGAGTGTATATTCTTGTTACTTTATGTAGTAGATCTTATTTTTAGAGTGTGTCTTTTGTTTGAAGAAACAAATGTATTCTAGATATTACAATAATAAAATATTTGTTTTCCCTTTATGTTTAATGTCTTTTTTCTTCAGTACACATCACTTTTATTTTACAACAATTGAATATAATTAGGAAATTATAATAAGAAAAAATACACAACTACCTGCATGGACCCTCAATTTTTAGGTGATTAATTTTTTTAGCATTGTTAGGTCTTTTATTTGAAAAAATACGGAAAATGAATACGAGCCAGTTCCCTTAGAAAGTCCTCCAGGAATTCATGCCTCTCCTTAGGTAGATATTTAAATTAACTAACCTAACCTGTTAATTTCTTTCTTGCCTGCCGTTTGCCTGTTAACTAGAGTGAACTTAATATAAATTCAACCTTATTACTAGATGAAGAGATTGTTGCGGAAACACATCGACTGTAGTGTCCACCAGCGTGTGAGCGGTAAAGTCGCTGAACACTGGTAATTCGGTCCGGGGTTCGAATCCTGGCGAAAGAGCTGTCTGCGGGCACGTTTTTGTGTTTTTCCTCATGTGTAACGTGTATACGAGCCAGTTATTCTTAGAAAATCCTCCATGAAAGCATCTCTCCCCTTGGTAGATAACCCTCTTAGAAAAACCATCTTAGAAATATCGTGAAACATTTTAGCTACTAAATAACTTATTTCCGAGAACTATAGATTCACACAGATCATATTTCTTTTCTAAGTTGTTGTTAATAATAATAGAATATGTACTGTGCCCGTAATAATCCTTACGTGGCCATTATTTATGCAATAGTTTGATGTAAATATGTACTTCTAACTGCAACAGTACTAATAACATAACTATTTGTATTAAGATGTTTGTAAATTTAAGCACTCAACTTTGTAACATTACGAAATCTAACTTTTTTTTACCTTCCTTAGAGCTATACTACGTAAAATTTTGAACTCATTAAAAAAATAGGACACAAAATATTGGACTCTTATAAGACAAAAATTGAGCGAGGTATTTAATTCTAATGTTTGGGTTTTCTTCAAATTCTTTAATGGCAAAAATCAGACTTTATAGCTTTTCTTGAGGAGTTGGTCAAAAATAAATTAGGTAATTTTTTCCTCATTTGAAAACATTCAGTAATCATCCTTTGGGATTGATTAATATGTAACCTTCTTTTATTTGCAATAATAGCTATTGATGTTATACGAACTTTTATAATTTGTAGCTGAGGGATTCAGGAGAATTTCTTAGTGACTTGCTTTGTTTTTGTCCTAGCTCTTATAAATTTCTCTTTGTAAACTTCGCATGAATCAAATTCGTTTGTAAATTATTTTTGCTCGGCATTAGATTTCGAAAGAACGAGTACTTCTTCATCCGATTGTTATAGTCGGTTTCCTTTATCTTCCAGAATCTCCAGGCACGATGGCAGAATATGACTGTTCAACTCAGATTCGTTTAAATGTTTATATAACCTATTATAAGCTTTTGTGAATGCTACATGCGATGAAATTCTTTTTACTTTCAAGTCTTCTATATCTCTTTACTGATAGAGCAAAATGTTCTTTACCCTGCTAACTCTTCCTGTCTTATAGACATCACTGCCACTATATATTCCAGAATTACCCCAGACCTTGCATACAGCCTATGCATCGCTATATGCAGGGTCTGGGGTATTTAGTTAAAATAAATAATGCCATTTTACAAAATATACTTTTATTTACAAATCGCATTTTGCGTACTGCTTGGTGTTACATCTTTGACTCCTCTGAAACATACTTTCCGACAAGTGACGTCATTCTAAAAAGGCAGAAAATATCGATCTCGTTACTGGGGTAATAATGTAGTTTCCCTTAGTTTGCATAACAAATTATTTTAGGTTTGGTATCGTTCCTGAACCTCTCATTTTCCCGCCAGGAGGCAAATTTAAAGTCAAGTGAAGAGAAAATAAAAACAGACGAAATTAGTAGTTTATTCAGAGCGTGATTTCGCTAGCCAGCGCACGTTACTATTTCGTACTTGCTGCTGTTACGCTGAGTTTCTGATAAGCCGTTTGGCAATTTATTAAGTATATCGCCGGATTGGTTGTTGAGTCAGCCTAATCAGTATCAGTTGAGTTGCCTGATACGCCGTTTAGCAATTTATTAAGTATATCGCCGCGTTGGTTGTTGAGTCAGCCTAATCAGTATCAGTTGAGTTGCCTGATACGCCGTTTGGCAATTTAAGTATATCGCCGGGTTGGTTGTTGAGTCAGTCCATGCCTGATACGCCGTTTGGCAATTTATTATGTATATCGCCGGGTTGATTGTTGAGTCAGCCTAATCAGTCTTAAACTAAATTGTTAGTCCAGCACTAATATTTATCTTTGAACTTAAGTTCCGCCGCAAGATGTCGGTGTTATTGTAAGCAGGAAGTATGTGCATTTATAATTGAGAGTTTGACGAATAATAAAAGATTTATTTTATCCTTTGTCTGTGCTACTATTACTTGACGCCTGTGCGAGAAGTCGCCAGGATTCCTCTTAAGATCATTATAACTATATGATAGCAGAGAAGGCCAGATCTTATAATTGAATGTAAAAAATCCTATACTGAAATTCTAATACGTGAGAAATAAATATACAGATTCAGCTATAAATGATATTAAAAATTAAAGAAAATTATCTGAATACGCAGGAAATTATACAGATTGAAAAAGCGAATGAAGTTAATAATAGTTTCTAAAATTATGTAAAATATTAGAATTACTAATGGTGAAATTATAACAGAGTGATAAAACTGTAGGCTATGTAAATTAAAATAGAATTATAAAAATGTAGCATAAGTAAGAACGATTTAATGAATAGCTTAGGAACAGTAATTAACAGTCATAAAATAAAATGCTTAATTTAAATAACTCAGTATATTTAAGAAATTTAAACATGTGAAAAAATATCTAAAATTAAGTGAAAGAGTAAAGTTAATGTTAAGTATTAAAATTATAAAAAAATGTATTATTATGAAAATAAAATATAATAAATAAGTTAAGAGCATACAGAAAACTGTAACGAAAAAACTGTCGAAATGTTAAAAATAATGTTTAAAATTAAATAATATGATGCATTAAAAGCATCTATTTAAATAATTACACTCGTAAAATATAATAAATCATTTAAAAATCCAGAGTACGTTTAAAATTAAGGAGGTTAAAATGTACGCAACAAGATTAAATTTACGTCTAAAACTAAATAATATTGCAAATTAAAACATATATTTGCATAATTGCGCTCGTAAAATGTACGAAATAAGTCCAAATTCAGGGTGTGCTAAAAATTAATGAGGTTAAAATATATCAAAGAAGCTAAAAATACGTTTAAAAATTAATAGCATAATAAATAAAAACGCGTATTTGAGTAATTATGCTCGTAAAATATAATAAATATATAAAAAATAAGAGTATGATGATTAAAAATGTATGAAAAACTTTCTGTGTAAGAAATAATATAGTATAATTTCTGTATTAAGATGAAATATAGTTTATTTCTGAGTAAGAAATAATAGTAAAAATTACAAACTTAAAGTACGAAGATTAAGGAAAGTAAATATGGTATTATGAACAGAAAATATAAGAAATAAATTAAAATTAAGGCTACAGAGGAAAATAAAAAGTTTAAAATGTATGGAAGAAATTAAACTTTACATCTGAAATTAAGGCTTTGCGAATAAACAGTGAATATTGGAAATAAGAAAGGAAATTTTTAAGGATGCATATGTATAAAAATTTATACAATAACATATTCGAATACAAAGTTTAAAAATCTAGAAGATAATCACTGTTAAAAAATAAATTAAAGGGAATTGGGATGTCAAGTCCTTCTAATCTCTGTTCTTCTCCTTATCAGTTAGCTGCTGGCGTACACCGCCTCATGCCCGTGAACCCTCACTTTTCTGCTACTAGTATTATAGCTGGTAGTGCAAGAAATGACACGTGTAGTTTCAGTCATTGTTCGTCTTGAAACAATTTATCGGAAGCCGAATTTAAATTCCAGTTACAAACAAAGATACCAAAACTAAATTTATTAAGCAATTATAGGTGATCATAAATGTTGATCACCATCGATCTCATCATTTGAATACCTATCGATATATATTTTAAATATTGAAGCAACCTTTACCCTTGAAGTTCGTTCAAAGTAGGATAATCTTAAAAGTTATCTTTCAGAATGCCCAAACTTCTGTCATTTTAAATTCAAATTAGGTGCTTAAATAACATTTTGGAAAGCATATAAATTTCTACTATTGCAAGAGACCAAATTAAAATTAAAATTAATCTTGGCATAATATACTGATGAGAATGTTGGATAATTGCGCTTACTTTATTTGTCTTTTATATAAGCTTGCAAGAGCTTTTAGATGGTATTTTAGACCTTTTTCAGTAGTTTTAATCTCCTACAAGAAAAATATTGTAATGTGTATAAGAAGAATTTTCTCATTAATACGTTAGCACTAATGAGATGAACAGTAATGCCTTCCTTATTGATTTAACAATTTACTTCAAAGTTTCTGCAAAACTGTTTATGTCTTTAACAATTTGCGAGAGAAGTTCTTGAATCTAGGTGGGGACTACTTTAAATAATGGTTATTTTCGTCATTATCATTGTACAAGACATCAAGAAACTTAATAGTTAAAACTTTTCTGTATTAATTTATTTGAACAATAGATAAGAACTTCTATTGGTATTAATAAAGTTTTTCAAGTAGCTTTTCACGTAGCAAACTACGCCAAGTATTACTGTCTAGGGCATTCCAGACTCATCAAGGTCAATGCTAATGGCTTTGGAAAGAAAACTGATGGTGCCCACAACCAATGTTTATTCCTCGTTTCCAGAAGCGTAGAACAGTACCATTTCCATGAATTATGGACGCAATAAAGGACTAACTATTTCGAAATGGTTGAATGCTTGCGTTTTACGAGTTATTCAAGCTTCAAGTGTGTGAATGGATACAAAGGAAAGGTTTTAAAAGAACTATTAAAACGTTAATTGCAGTTTTCTTTTAAAAGCTTAAATATTTATTTCGAAATCAATAATGTATAGTTTTCTATACTGT